GCGACGCGCCGCGTCGCGAAGACATGAGAGGAGCCGACAGCGACAGGGGTCTCTGAGCTATTTGTACATACACCGAATGGAAAACGCGGGCCGACTCGCCAACAGACGAAAAAAACTTGCAGGACCAAAGGAACGAGAGCTTCCTTAATTACCACGTTACACCCTGCGCTCCTTCTTTCCTGTTCACTATCGTGAAGTTAATAGAACTAGATGATAAATGCGGTGTGTAGGTAAACGATCCAATCCTTTTCTTACAAACGAAACCATCAATATGTATCTCGTATGAGCACGTTTAATCTCGTATCTTCATTGTACTTCATAGGTGATCGCAGTTTGAATAAAAATTTCCTTTTTTCTTATTTGCTATGATGGAAAAGATGTTGCGGAAGATTTGATAAAAAGGGGAGGATAGTTTTAAGTATGAAATCACGACCGCAAACTATCGTCGAAACAATTTAGAGCCATTAGAAAGAATAAAAGGAATATTGAAGTCTAAAATAAGAAAGCAATACATAGGTATAAACACTTTCGCTATGATATATTTGGATAGATTATCAAAATGCTTGTTAATATCTTCGAAGATAGTTTCGCATTTCTCAAAGTAAGAGTAGTTATTCCGTCACTCTAGTTACTTCTGCTCGTTCCCAAGAAATCGTGCGGCTCGACGTTGACACTGCACCTTCCAGCCGTAGGAAACGTCGGACCATTAATCGCCCGTGCTCTTCTAATACATTCTATTCTATTCTAAGCGAAGTCGGATATGTGGCGGCTTGTTCCCTACCGTAGGGTTTATTTACCCGTTAATTTATTAGCGTATCTTCGTCATGCCGCAACTCGTAATCGAGCGCGACGGAGTTCGCGAGGACCGCGTGCCGCGCACTGGTGCACTCCCGTTACGAGTCACCGTATTTTAAGGGTTCCATCAGACACCTTTATCTCACGCTTGATTCTCTATCTCTGACAGAAGAAAAGAAACATCGACGAGACGTCTCGGAAATTTATATGCCGTTTCACGGCCAATGTCTGTCCACTCCTATGATATTAGAGGGTGTAATTGCATCCTAATGTTCATTCCTTGCTTTTCTTTATTTCAGCTAATTATCAGCCTGTTTGCCTCTGCGAGCATGATGTCTAAAAATGTTTATACCTATGTGGAAGTAGTGGATGATGGTAAACGATAGAATTACACTCAGGTCGTAAATGACAATTTACGATTAAATATACATACTATCATTCTTACTGTCTAATTCTAACTTATATAATCGAAAATCATTGAAGGTGTGTATCATAGTTTAGTTTTATTTGTTCGCTACATGATTGCCTAAGGATTTACGATAATTTTTCAGCAACATGGAATCGTAACATGGACCAGTAGATGACTTCCCTTTTCCTTTCCTTCGCACGGCTAATGAAATCGGCGCACTCTTAATGAGAACGAAGAAAGCCGATACTGAACGACTTCCAAAGAAGTGACTCCTATGGGCAGGTTCCGTCGCTCCTTTGACTAGGGAGTAATAGAGTATCGGGGCGGAGTATCTTACCGCAGAGTAGAAACGGAGTATTCGTATTTCAAAGGGACGGTCCGTTACGCCGCAACGCTTCTCATTATGTTATGCGCGCCTAAATGTCATGAGAAAACCATACCCGCCCGTACGTCGACAGGAGAACCGACAGCAATGAAGATTTTCACGCGGAAGCGTCTCTTCAGGGCTACTTTATCTTTGTAACAAAAGAAGATGGCGGACTTAGATAGAAAAGTCTTATCTTCAAAAAAAGTCAGTAATCTTTGCTATCTCTTTATCATAAGAAAATGGAGGATACGGGTGTTCTTTCATTGTGAATTGCGAGTTATCTCTAAACTATTACCTTATTTCAGCTGACCTGTCGCTTTATAATTTCTCAAGCAACAAGCGTTAGATCAAAAAAGGATAGGGATTCGAACAAATAGTTCATGTTCTACTTAGAAGGTACTTGAATACTGCTTTATATCACCTACCATTGGAAAAACTACGATTGGTTATTTTGGCCGCCGTCGGTGAAGTTAGGAACGCCGAGTGGGTGTCTAATTTCGTCGAAGAGGAGGGATTTCACGCTCGATCAACGCTGATTGGACAACGCTGGTCGTTTGCTCTTATAACTCGTCGTTTGTACGCGAACCCGTACTTTGACAACAGTCTGCTCCACGTGAATCACAATTTTCTGTATGTTTATCAGGGAATAATACCTATGCTGCACCTGTCCATATTGCCAAAATCGACTAGTTAATTAGCTAAATGAGCCTGAATTAATTAATTGCATTGATATCGGTTAAAGATTAATTACAACTAAATTTATTATTTCTTAACTATTTTTAACTGTAAATGAATGGTCTAAGGATTGCTTTAGTCAGGACATGGTTATATTATATCTACATATTTTATTGAACTGACGCTTAATTGAAATTCAACGAAGCCATCATTGTTCTTCGAAGTATACTGCTTCTTTGAAAAACAAGAGAGGAAACGATTAATTTAGTTGTAAGCTTGTAGGCATTAAGGACGATATCGCAGCTCATTAAACATTGCACGCGAATTATCATCAGTTACAGAGAAATGCTTTTGATTATTAGGAATGGAAACATTAATCACGCGGTCCATGCTATCGGTTGTTACGCACGAATCGACGTATATATGTACGAACAATGCTAATTTGTTAAAAGTACACTATGCCGTGTTCATTGCTATATGTTTTATGTATATTAATTTATAGTTTGTTATAATACGATGCATTGGTAAATTAGATTCGACATAATCTCGAGTGCAGTGTAAGTTTTCTCTAGATAGTTCGAAAGGATTGGTTTCTTCCTGGATTTTTCCTAAAATTGATGATCATTCGTGTCTTTATCCATGTGAACCCGAATAAAGTAACATCTTGAGTAATGCGAACAGTATAACAGCATCAACTATGTATTGCGCGAATCGTTTCTCAAGCGCCGATAAATGAATACATTCCTTATGCTTTGATCGATTGGCAACTCGATTACGCGAACACACGGACAACTAAATCCTGATGGATATATTGGTTTCTTTTCCAATCGTTTCTTGAAACGGACTTTCCTTTCGCTTCACGGAAGTCTTGGTAATTAAAAAGATCGCTGAAGATTAACTTCGACCGATGCGGGAGAATCGTCTTTGAAATTATTCTCGAGTGTCTGAACTGTTGCAAATTGACCAGCGATGGGCAATTGCAAGAGTCCAAGGGAAATTTTTGGGCGTTCGTGGACCATTTGATGTACCATTTACGAGAAACGGTGTTTCTGAAAGGCGGTGTGCACCGTGCCAAGAAGGAACGGAATCGTAAGGAATCTAAAGCACCGTTGTATTCTCGAACTCTTCAGCGTGCCAACTGAGCCGTAAGCTAGGAAATAGATTAATGCTACACTCGAAAAAATGCTGGTTAATTATAGTGACGCCACCCCTCGTAAAATCGAGATATTTTGTCCGAAGTGCATTACTATAAGATTAACACTTACCTGATTTTTTGCTGATTTTGGACTGATTTTAAAATCCATTTTAAGACGAAACTTCAGCGATGTGCTTCAATATCATGTTAGGTTTATATTCCTAACATACAAGCTGATACTTCTGATAAATTAAATCTTTTTTACGGGACTTGTTTAGATACTAAAGATACAAATTATATTTCAGAAAAAAATATCAAAAGATTGTTTTATTAATTGTTTGTGGGGACATAAGGAAGATGAGGTGGGAAGAGAAACATCAATATTAACGTTAAGGAAAATATATATTTCCTCGTGACAAATGTTGCATTCCATAAAAAAGCATGACAAATGATTATTTAATCAGTTAAATAATATGGGTACAATTCGTTCAAGAAATTTGCTTGAACGCTCTTTGGACAGCCCGATTGCATTATTAAATCTACGCAAGGATCGAAAGAAACGTATAAAAACGACTGCGATTCAAACATGGTAACGCGTTGAAACGTTTAAAGAATTACAACAATGTTAATTCACCTTCCTTCTCTCATAGTTCATTACGTATACGATAAAAATCGCTCTTTTCCTTTATGGCGCTCGATAAAAGGCACTCTTGGCAAACGGCGATATAAAATATATAATACTGGTGCTGATGTATTGTTCATAATCGCTTTGAGCGATTAGATTTACTTATAAGATAACATAATGCTACCTCTAAGCATTGGTGTAACTAGGCTGAGTACGGAGTGAGTTTGACTCTCTTTGAAACGTGAACCGAGTCCCTTTCCTATGCTTTATATGTGTTCCAATTTTAACCAACATCTTGTTAGAATAAAGACACCCCAAACATAACACACTGAGCAACAGCATTTGCTAACTCACTCCAGACAAAACTCCTAGTTACCCCAATACCTCTTAGCTATCGTCAAATATAAACCTTTGAAATAATCTACCACGAATAATCCTGTTGGTTGTCTCCGTTGCAAACAAATCTTTAAGGTGGATCCACGTCTACCTTTCTGAACGATTCAACGAGTGCTTTCATCACTCGCGTATCAACCGCTTGAACTTTTTTCTTCTCCAAACAAGATTCGCAAACAATAAAAAGAACCTATTCGTTTCAGTTACAAGGACTAGCCGGTTGACTGCTAGCCACCGACGATTGCATCATGATGGATTGTACGCTGAGCACCGGCGACGTGGTGACCACCGGTGTCACGGTGTCCGAATGATGATGGTGATGATGGTGGTAAAGAGCGGACGCGTAATACTGCTGATGGTGATGGTGATGATGATGCGGGTGATGATAGCCACTGGTTTCCTCGTTGTTATTGTTGTTGGCAGCGTTCTCGTTGCTCTGATGATGATGATGGTGAGGATGATGATTATTGTTGTTGACTGCCGCGCACAGCGGCGAACTTGGAGACGATGATGTTTGAGAATTGGTCAAATTACAGCCGCTGGCAAGGATGTCGTGAACCGTGTGAGGACTCGGCCACTGCAGAGCACCGGTCGTTGTTTGATGCGATACGCCGTGAATCGAGGTTGGCGAGGACGGCGACAGCTTGCTCGGCGTCGTCGGACCAACTGGAAACGCACCGGTACCAAATTGGTAGGGACAGGTTCTTTCGAATTCGATAATCAGCGCTCGTATCAGGATGGAAGAAAGAGACGCGACTGTTGCCTGATATCCCGCGAGCTTGCTGCTAGAACTAAACGCACACTTCAAGTTGCGTTGATGAAGAACGGAGCCGAGTCTCTCCGATCGTGTCGGCCACTGGTACAACACCTGGTGCACGATGCGAACAGAGACGGCGCCTACTGTTCTTTCACCAATGTGTTACGTACCGTGCTTGGTAGGTTGGCGTCTCGAGCGAGAATTTTTGTTTGGTTTTCTATTGGTTAGCGATGAGTATTCGATGCTACTTTTTAGTACACGGGCTCTGATCTACCCATTACTCGTGTAACCCACCATTAAGTAGCCGCAAAAATTCTTGCTCGAAGGACAAGTAGAATCAAGAAAGTTCGATCTACCAACCTTGATGATGATGATGATGATGATGGTGCGTTACAGCGGGTGGCGGCGTCGCGTGATAAGGCGTCGGCGGATAAGGAACAGGACAGAGGGCAGCTCCAGCGGCAGCCGCAGCTGCGTACAAATGATGATGATGGTGATGATGCGCCGGATGATGCGGATGATGATGTATCGCGTTCGCAGCGCCGACCTTGTTCCGCAGTATCCTCGAAATGCTGCTCACCGAAGGCACATTGTACTTGTCGCACACCCCGTCAGAGAGCAAACGATCCCTGATCTCCCAGGCAAAGATGCCCGGATCTTTCAACTTCAGCTGCTTGATGTACTGGACTACCTTCGGGGTTGTCACCCGGGGCTTGCTGCCGCCGATCGCACCAGGCAGTATGCTGCCCGTTTCGTGGTATCGGGCCAAGATCTTGCTGACACAACCATGGCTGACTCGCAGCTGCCGCGAGATGTCGCACGGCCTTATACCCAGCTGTGCAAGCTCCACTATTCGCAACCTGACCGCGTTTGGCAGAGGTCGACCGTTTACGAACACACCCCCAAGTTGATTCACCTCGCCGTACTGCTGTTGTTGCTGTTGCTGGTGTGGTTGCTGCTGCTGCTGCGGATGATCTGCACCAAGTTCGCTCGCGTTACTTTCTGTCCGGGGAACAATTGTAAACAGCGAACATTAGATTTGTCCGTAGAATTCACTTGTACATTGACGTAACTAGGTTTTTTTGGAGGAGTGGCTTGGTTTAATAGCTTTATCAATAGCGTTTAGAACATCTTTCAAAAATTTCTAATGCAATTAATGCCTTTTAACCCTAATTACGTCAAAGTACTTTATACGGTCTTAAGCTACTACTATTACTTATCTTTAATAGCGTATTAAGAGTATAGACTGGCCCTAAGTAGTTAGATAAACAAAAATTACCAGTGATGGAGTGTTTTATCTAACTAAGTAATTTAATGTGTTCATTGAATTTCCTATACTTGTATATGTTACTACACATATAATTAATATCGAACGATAAATAAAGCAGTCAAAGGGAAAGAATTAATGGCACTGCCTCTTCGATTAGACAGACCCTTTGGGTCAGCTTTTTATAGACGACGCAGTCGATTAGGGGGTGGTTCCCTTGGTTCATAAAACACTCAATAAATCCTACGTTCTATTTGCTCCCGTCTGTTTCAGATACGCGACACCTCGTTTTCGGCTGAACACGATAAAAGCAATACGATATTGATTTATACAATGAACAGTCTGATGTAGAAACCGTGGATTTTAACGATCAGTTGGAATGCAAAAAGGACACGTTTAACATCGATTCGTCGCGACGAAATCGCGAGTTCACTACTAAATAACACGACGATAATATACATTGCATCGGGACTTACACCTGGCACTGGGGTTCGTTTTAATGAGATACAGATGTATGTTGAGCTCTGCTTCTGTTAATCCAAACTGCCTTGTAACAACCCTTAATTAGCGAAGCGATGTCTTAGCAATTGCCTCCTAACTGCGTTCCAAACCTACCTAAATTCCGTTCGCCGGTAAGTAAAGATAACAACCCGTTGCGAGCATAATAAGCGGGCTATCTTTAACCAGGATGGGATTTTATGTACTGCTTTCCCCCGAACGCAAAAATTTAAATAACGTTCACGCACTTGTTAATCTTATACCCAAGATAAAGTAGTTTCAAATATGAAAACGCTAATGTGCAAACATCTTGCAGATCCTTTGATGTCGAGGAAGGATCGAGCTTCTTCCTCCCGGTGGGTCTATTTGAAGAGGCATAGAATCGAAATAGATAGATGGACGGATATCCGTGAAGGAAACGCGAAGTCGTCTTTGCGTGGAACGTTGAAAAAGAAGAAGAAGAAGAAGAACTTTCCTGTCCACGGAAGGGGAAATTTATGTGGTTCTCCTGTTTCTCCCTTCGTTTCTCTTTCTACGCACCGAGGGCAACCGATGTACGCTCAGCGTTACGAAGAAGAGGAATAAATAAGAAAACCGCGGGCGGAAAGGAAGGCCCTTACGTTGCCTCCGTGATTCCTGGAACGAGAGTTTCGTCGGCGACGCCGCCGTCCGTAGAGACGCGTTTTTGCCCGGCCACCGGCCACCATTTTTTTCATCATTCATTTCGACATCCCCTCGTCCATCTCTCCACAATGGTGGTTTCTTGGCAGTGGCGCGAAATGCGCGCCCTTTACGCTGCATTTCAACCGTCAAAACATTAATTCAGAATTTAAGGTTTGATAGAAATGATTATGCAAATGTTTAATTCACATTCTTTAAACAATACAATGTGATATAACAAGTCCAATCTAATAACAATACGTTGTAAATCATTTACTTTCTGTTGTAATGTGGATAAGTACCGATAAACACAAAGAAAAGAATTTTCTATGAGATTTAATTGAAAGATAAACGACGATTTTCCAGGAATCACCCCGGTGAAAGGAGCGCAGGTTTTTCAGCGGATCGCCGTTTCGTGGAACGACCCCGACGTGGCCCGTTAAACTCCAACGATTTGGACTTAATGACCCGCGTTACATTAAAGCTCCATCTTTTTGCCGGCTAACGTTCGATCGCGAGGGAGTAGCAGTGCACGCTCGTTAAACAAGAGACAAGAGCCATGGTTTATGCGTTCCTTTGATCGGCTCTCTCTCGCATAGGTGAGTAATTAACGAGGAAATAAGCCGTTTGCCTGATAGATTTATAATTACGATAATTTCGTGACTTTTGCAGAAGCATTTATCTTACGAGTTACTCGATGATTACATCAATGCTTGGCAAAATGTTAAGCACAAATTTTATGAGAAGAACATTAATTATTGAACACCTGCACTTCACTTGCAGACAACGTTATCGGATATATTTCAAAACAAATATTATTCTTGTCCCTTGAAGCATTAATCTATTGCTCTTAGAGGACCTGACGGTAGAAATCCTATAGGGGATCAGTAATAAATTTTCAACGGTGCAGGCTCCCTAACTGTTCAGGTTCCACTCGATGGTAGGATATATGGGAAATGTAGGAAAAAAGAATAGCCTAGTTAAAATGATTACAAAATCACGTTCTGTGGATATCTCGTGAGAGTTAAGTCACGTTGATACTGGAATAAATATCTGAACACTTGCATAGATTGCTTTTCAACAACAGAAGGTATTACAAAAAATATAACATATTTCTTTGCTATGATATTTTACTCGTAATTGCATCGTAAATTAAAAATCATGAACATGTAATTGAATGATGAACCGCCGTAGGTTTACGAGCATAAACCTACGTAGAAGACTGGATGAATTAGCGAAAAGTAAACGGCAATGTCCCGAATGAGAAGGATCTCCTGGTGTGTAGCATGTGCAGAGAGACGAGAACACACGCACACACATGGACTGGTCGAGTTCCCTTGGTCGGTCTTGGATACGTGTATTACACGCGTGTAAAATGACTACACGCGTCGGGTTCTTTGATCTCGACCATTCATCACCCCTGCGGCCGAGAAAAAGTCTAATAATATTGTGTGCACGCAACGCGACGTTCACGCGCGTGTACGCGCGTGAAATGGCTAGATCGTCGGTTCCACGCGACGATTCGCAGATATATAAATGCAATCTTCCTCTCAATTTCCTCTCGATCCTCTGGATGGATCCTTGTTGCCTGTAAGAAAGTCTACAGTCTAACTATCGTCCTGTATTTTGAATAATTAAAGAAATAGTAATGTATATCCACCAAAGTCTAATCTATTGTTTAATAGTTGAACGATCGTCCAATTATTTTCAAACATTTCTTGTTCCAAAGGAATTCAGGCGAATGCAGAAACGCGGAGGAACTGAAGAAAAAGTATCGGACGATGCACGACCGGGGTGGATCGGCTAATTTCGTAACTGGAAATTTGCGAAAACGATACCGGAGAGGCGGAACAAATTGTCGCGGATAAAAGGACAAGCAAAAGCCACTGTTATAAGTAGGAAAGTGAACGGTGAAGTATGGTCCAAGATGTGGGCGTGCACAAAACGAGTGATGGATGTCAGTGTCACCCTCGAAAACATGTGTTTCGCTTACATAGATTGGCCCGAACGCGGCCAGTGTTTGTCTACCATTCTCACTCGCTAATTATCGACCCTCGAAACGTTCCCTTTGTCGGCCTGTTAGCTTTTATAGAAACGGATCTTTAATTTAATTTCTGCGGTGCCACGGCGGTGTTGAGCACATGTCAGTGATTAGTTCGTCGCAACGACGCGTCAGAAATTACAAAATTAAAACTCTCTCTTTCAGCGGAAACGTGGAAGAATCTGAAACAATCCATCCAATGATTGTCCAACGCTTGGAATAAATGTCACGTGAATAAAAACAAGAATATCGAGTATCAGAAGATCGATGTCTTTGGAAATACATATCGTCCACATATGAGTGACATGAAAGAAGAATTTTACTTGTACAATTTTTTAAAGGAGACTATGGTCTTCAAAGACCTAAAGTTTCAAAGCTTGTCCAGTGAGAGGATGTTGAAGGGTTACGAATCTTGTTACTCAGTCAGGATACTCGACAACGAACTGATGTATGATACGTGCATAGATTTATAACACGTGTATCCGCGAGTGTTCAAAATAGGCTTGTCACGTTTCATCATTACTTCCAGAAGCTTGGTAATCTGGGAACTGGCCAAACAGCGTTCAAGCGAAAAGGATCCTTTAGTCTCGATTTTTGCCTTTTGCAGCAACAAATTTGCCGTGCTCGAAACTTTCTCGGATCGAATGTTATCGCGTATAATTCACGTGCCCAGAAAGATGCAAATAGTTTACATTACTCGCGATAAATTACACTCGCCGATCATTTTTTTCGTCCGATAGGAAAAATTTATTCGGCACTGATAACCAAAGCACTGATTTCGAGTTCTTTTACTAGATTAACGAACGATCTATTTATAGGCGCAAAATTTATGCAACTTGACGCAAGAGGAAATTAATTATGCGCTAATCGCGCTACATTTTTCACGATAACCGTTTGACCTCGTCGAATATAGTTTCATCATAGCTCCGCGAATTTCCAGACGCGTCTACCAATGAACTGAATTATAATGTTGTTTTCCAATTATACATCAGCATGCAACTATGAAAAATTTTGTAAATTTTCGAGAAGTGTCCATTGAATCAGCAGGAAGAAATTTTGACAATTTCGATCGTTTCGCTTTACCGAGTATTCAGCGATTTTTCTTTTTATCATTGAACTTTCGCTCAATTATTCTCCCTCCTTTCTCTCTTTGGAGACTGCACCTTTCTTCGTGCACCTAAAATACACTGGTGCAAAATTTATCTGGCAACTTCATGTACGTGTGCGTGAACCGTGTTCACATCTGGAATACGCGATGACAGTGGGACAGAAATATATCCAATCGACGAACAAAAAATCTACTCCGCCAAAAGTACATTTCCTTTTTCTTCTTTATTTCTCTTTCTGGATCCTTTAAAAGCATTCCCCTTTGCAGGAAAGGTTTCCGGATAATCGGAGATTGTAAAGTCGGTGCAATTAATAATCACGGTACCGTGACAAAAGGATGAAAACTAGAGAGATGGAATGCAGATGTGACAGGTATACCAGACAGAATGACTGTCAGGTTGAAAACGGATGCATCGTTTGTTCTCGAGCCAAAATCGCTACTCAACTCGAACGACGTATGGTCACGAGTTTTTGGGATGAGCTATTAGAAGAATCTGCAGTGTGGCCGCCGGCCAGGATTTTGAATCAGCGTACGGTTATGCAGAACTTCACGTCCAAATCGTGCAAGTAATAACTTGTCAACCATACATCTCGGCATCGTTTCATCGCGCGATCGTAGACGAATGTATTCGGCATCTAATAGAGCATAGAATGCGTTCCACCTTGTCATGCAACTTTCATAGCCAAATACTCGCTACATTTACACGCCTATCAATCAGAGCATTAATGTTGATAACATCAGAAACCTCCTGACATGTATGTTTCTTCGGTTGCGCTTCAACGTTTATACAATGTGTATCAACTTTCAGATTGATCAGGTTGAAAGTCGCATCGAACGTGTTTTAAATTAAAGCTTAAAGCTTAACGACAATTTAACACAAATTGATGTTGAAAGCGACAAATTTCAAAAAAGAAGTGGTTCAAGTATCTGAAAAGCTTTCCTGACTCGATAATAATTTGTAGCTGGCAAATTTACCTTGAGGTAAGTCAAAATTTCGGTCACAAATATAGAAAGGTCCACGTTTAAAGGACAAAGAAATTAGCGACCAAATTATTAGAGCTTTTAAAGTTTCAGAGAATCACAGAGAGGACTAAGTCAAGGATAAACCGTTCTTCGGTTGCTCGAGAAACATCCAGAAGCTAATACAAGTATTTGAGCAGTCCTGTGTCAACTGAACCTTTTAAAAGCTTGCTTCCTTGTTTAACTGGAACAAACTGTACTAATTGAACTCTAATGAATCTGTAACTGTACGTTTCCTGTCAACGTCAACAGTTTCGTGGTCCTTCGAAATTGCCTACCGTGGTTTAAAAATATAACGTACAGGACATTTGGAACATCATGAAATTTTGGTATTTTGAAATTTTCAAATCTGGAAACAAAACTCGAAACACCGAGTTAGATAAAACAATAACCGTCATTCGCAAATAAAAGAAGATTCATGAAGTGTCATGGGGCACAAATAAGAACGATAGAAAAGCGAAACGATGCCCATCCGTTTAAAATGCCTGCGTTATCAGTCGCTGCGTTTTTTTCTTCCAATGACGTTGACAATCTCTGAAGTCATTGACACCAATACAGTCGTAACCGCACGTACGGTTCAAGACCTCGATATGTAACGAGATACATTGGAAACTTATTCGAATGATAAGACAACCGGAGAACGAATTCGTCCGGGCGGGTGTAAGTACGCGGGAGATACGATGGACAATAAAAATTTGTCATGACACTCTGTAACGAATGACTATAAAAAGCAACGATTCTGCCTTGTTTTTGCACGATTCAGAATCTTTCGAACGAGTAAAAAGAGCAAAGAACTTTCGCAATTGAAAACCTTGCAAGTCAGGGGGCGCAACTCTACTCTTACCAACTTTGAGTTTTAATTTAACATTAAAAAGTGGGACTAATTATTATGACGTTATAGATGTATTTGTTAAATCCACAGTTAAGAAGAAAATTGCAGGATCAGCAACTTGATACTCAATTTACTTATTCCTAAGTAATTTGACCGTAGCACCGTTCCAGGGGGATTTTTTCTCGCGCGAAATAAATCTCGTATTACAATCATCGAATCAGCGGGAATTGCAACAAGGGTAAAACACGTTAGATCTAGGTCATCGGCAACGTTTCACGCGTCACAACAAACATGGTACATCTTGGAGATTTATACTCCAGCTTTACCAAAATGTAGGTCACGATACCGCCTCGTTTCAATACCGTTGATTGGACATATCATTTCTCATGTATTGTCGCTTCATCACCATTCTGACCATTTTTTATTCCAGTATCTTGAAGTAAATTGGACAGAAAATGATCGAAGAATATCAATTGGAGTAGACAATACTACGATACAATAGAAACGAGGGCAAGGATGTAACGAAAATAATAAAAAATAAACTTGCGGAGATAAGGAGAAGTTAGTAGATAGGGGACGAAAGAAGGCTAATGAAGAAGAAAGAATGCTCGAAACATTAGATGAAAAGGAGCCTCGAGAAACAAGGAAAATAATATTTTACTAATTCTAAGGACGGTGCCTATTGCAGCTCCACCAGTGGCAATATAACGAGAATCTTCTGTATTTTGGATGCAAGCAGATACAAAATGTAAGATAATATTCTTCTTACGTAACATTAAAAATAAAAATTACGCTTACGTTTTCAAACCGTTATGAACAGCAGCTGTATGTTTTATCAGTGTCTAGTGACATACATCATGTGGATGAACTTCCTCGTCAGAAGGCTTCCGTGAAACATTCTTGTTAGAAGAGTCAACTTTGATGTTCGTCAAGAACGCTGCTGATATAGTTGTTAACTCTTTGAACAGACATTTCCGCGAATAAGGACAATTTTGGGCGCAAACGTTACAAGAGAAATTGTACATTCAATTGAAGAATCATATTTCTTCGATAGATTATTTCTGAGATAATTTCATTGCCGGTAGTTTTGTAGTAAAAAATATAATAGTATTTAACTGAAACGGTTGAACGGTGATCGTATAAACTTGTATATAATAATTTTAGCTGGTCTCGAGTTTAAAAAGAAAAACGATCGAAGGCATGGCGATAAGGATTGTGAGGGCATCCGGGACCCAGCAGCAAGGTTAAAGGTTGCCAGAGAAATGAGTACAATAAACTTTCTATGAATGGACAGCCTCGTATACTCTTCTATGCGCTAATTATTCGATAATTAACGCAATTCTTTTCTTTGTTTCAGTTAATTTTTCGCAATGAACGATGTTGCTATTACTTCTCCGGATTTTTAAGCTTTCGGAAGAACTACAACTACGAAATTATACACGACAAGAAAGCAAAAACATGTGCATTGCTTAGGTTCTGGAAAGATAATTGTTAACCTATTTAATATTATCGTTCGCGCTACCGCGACATTAATAAGTTGTCAGCGACGGCGCCACAAGATACAACAAAGCGGCAAGTCGCTCATTTAATTATAAATTCAATTAGGTCGAAGTTGATTGGCACACACATCAAGAGTTAAGCCGACACAATCTTTTATCAAGAAAGAAACGAAAATGAGGAAACAGAAAAGTCTACAAGATGATCAAAACTCTTTTGAAGTTCCATCTAAAACCATTGTAAAAATGGACAGTAGATCAAAAGAATGTTGGTACGTTCAATTTCTTCGTATTTAATTTTATTTAAGCATGTATGATAAAATAGACAGCTGTTCGAAGCTCGAGTACTAATGTATCAAATTAACAGAGCTTTTGTTCTCGCGAACTTGGTGCATTTGGTTATAAATCCCTAGATTTCTAGACTTAGATCTTTACACCCCTACATTCTAAAATCCTTAAATGTCGATATTCCTGTATGTTTAGATACCTAGATCCCCCTAACCATATGCCAGGTACTTAAAGTAATGCTGATCATTCATTTTATATAGATATAACTCGTACAATTTGTGTCACTTACCCTACAGAGACACAAACGTGTTACGTAATTAAACGTGCAGTCTCAAACAACATTTTGCATGGTTTATAAATTGTAGGACCGATTGCTCACCTAGTACAATAGGATCCATTGGGGTAGATGAAACCTAGCAGCCGTCGGCTACATGCAACGCAGTTCTCCGTCACCTCTTCAAACAATTCTTCGTTGATGAAGTCTCTCGAAATTACTTAGGCCGTACTACAGTTATCAACAAGACAAATTTTCAGTCTAGCGAATTCCCCGATCCGAGATTTCAGTCCGAAACGCGTTCTCCAAACTCCGCCAAGTGCATCCGTGCCTTTACGCTCTTTTCATCGTGCACCACCTTACGTTCCCTTGCAAGCTGACATGTCTGTAATTTCACATTTTTCTTCTTCGCAGAGATCCGCACACCATGTTCATTTTAAGGGTACGTTGGTACCGTTGGAACACCGATCCGATCGTACGGACGTCGTCGGGACACTTCACTGACACGACGAACAGGGAGTTCACGCTACGGTGCGTTTCATCTGCGGACAGGAAACATCGGAACGCTGAATCAAAGTGTCTAATGAAATGGCGAGAATGGAGTGCGTCGATCGCGTAGTCCTTCATTCACGCACAACTGAGACCAAGAGACTACCAAACGAAAAACTCAATTGACTTAGCAGCAGCCGTTAAATAATGCGATATAACAGCGTGGCAAGTGTGTGCACTGTATTCGCTCCTCTGTAAAAGAAGCGAGAAAGGGAACGTTTGCTTTTGGATAAGATAGAGAAAGAGAAACAAAATATTAAACGGTGGACCCGCGGCGGCCAAGTCGCTGGGCTAGACGAGACGAAAAAAGAAGCACGGACACGGTCAATGGTGCGCGGCTCGCCCTTCGCTGCCTCACTGACTGGGGCGACAGATTTACCAGAGCAGAAATAAGAAATCTCCTCTCCGGCTAGTAGCGTAGCCTCTGAGCGTGGCCCCCGCCCGCTCCCTCTCATAGCTCTTCAACGCACACGAATTAGCATATAGAGAGCGTGGCTTGTTGCGTGTTTAACGAAAGAGAGAGGGAGGAAGAAAGAGAGAGAGCGAATTAAACGTTGAAATGAACATCGTTGAAGAAATAAGCATTGGCGTAAATAGGTAGTGGTCGGGGTGAGCTTGACCCCCATAACTTGGGAATGGGGATGTAATGCGAAAGGATATATCACGTGGCGATTTAACGTGCAGGAATTATTACACATAGTAGATATAGCAATATGCAGAGATGTGGTGATCGATAACACAGGGTGATTTACCACGTGATTATCCATAACGCGTGGTAATTCAACGTGCAGCTATAGTGTACTTCTACCCCTTTCCCCCAGTTAAAATCCCAGCTACGCCAATGGGAGCAAGACGTTAAATAAGAGAAAAGGACATGCGTAAGATTGAGCGAAAGAAAGTAAGAGAGAAAATGTTGGTTTGAGAGGGCTGCAAGTGGTCGGTGGACCAATCGGTGGCCGCTCACATTCACGTTGCGCGCATATTTCTGCGCATCCGTATATGATCAAGTTCGGGCGGCTTCACTTTTGTACCTAAGCGTGTGTATTCGTCACAGAAGACAGTGTATTCGTACGAACGTACACCGACGCGCATGCTCGACCAAGCACGGCTGACAATCACGATGGAACCACGAGGGGGAAAACTGGCCACGCTTAAGAGGCGGAGTCACATTCGCACGGACCATTGGCGAGAGCAGTGCACCGTGAGCCAGTGTGGTTTACGCCTCTTCATTGTATCCTCATGCCTTGCTTTTCCTTTGCCAATATCTAGCTATCCTTTCTTACCATTACTGTTTTCGGTACAAAAATGAAAAGTTAGATAATTGTTACAAGGATGAAAGGAATGCTCTAATAGTTTCATATAATATTATTAAATATTTGGTTTTACCATATCGATGTTTAAGGTTGAAAATCAAATGGAGTTACCTGGGTTTAGTTGTTACTCTAATTGACCACTGTTACGTAGCCCATACACTATAATAATCTGTTATCTTATTATTCTGTTAAAACGAACGGACTTCTCAACGTGTTAAATGCAGTTATTTTCAACTTAAAATTTTTAAATACTTCGAAATGTTTTTAAATAATGTATGTTTTTATATGTCCGAATGAAGTATGTACATGTTCTAAAATATTTAAAATATTAAATACTGGAAAGTTTGTGCTAACATTTGTATGCCTTTTAAATTTTTATCGATCCGCGCTTTGACAACTCGCTATGGCGAGAAGCAGTAGCAGTAGCTTTTCTTGCGTAAGATACATATATAAAGGATTTTTTAAACTTTTACGTAGACAAGATATGAAATCAACGTGCTATACAATTTTCTATTCCATAGTAAGAGTTAAAGAGTGCTTATCATTTCCGTATCATATCCTATTATATCGACTGAAAAAATTTTTACCATTTTCATGTCATTCCCTACCTTATTGATACAGCGCAGTATAAGAGCGGACTATTCTGAACACATAATCCGCATCTTCGGAACCACGGACTATATTGCAAACAGCATAAAATCAATATTAATAAATATATACTAAATATGTAGCATATTAATCAATAAAATCAATATCCATTGAATTTTTACAAAATGGGACAAGTAGTGACATCTCGCCGGTAAATAGGGTTTATCGACTGCACTGTGATGATGCTTCCAATATTATCAACACACATGTGGAACGGCATTTCTCTGTGTGGAAAAGCGCGGAATGCTTATAATTTTCTTTGTATAATAAACAGTGTAAATTGTGGATATTTTTCAATAAAAAGTTCATGAGAACCTTATCAAAAATGTTCACAGATAATCCAAAATGAATGTTTAACTATAGAATGTTTTACAAATGCATTGTGTATTCTGGAACCGAATGGTTTGGCTGTGATTGTTAAAAAATTTAAAATAATAATGGAGTGTATAGTAGCAAACGTAGATAATATGCGATTTGATATTGAAATTGCTCTTGATGAACAATATGGAGCTCTTCCTTTACCTTTTACAGGAATGGACAGTGTGTATTAATATTTATGAATCTTGACATATTTAACTAGGTTATGTCATGAAAAGTGTAAAGAAAGTTATTAATATAAACAAAATATAACTTTTAGAATCCACTGCTGCGGTATGCCAATTTTATCCAAGAGGAACTTGTGTCAAAGGAGCCTCTTGCCCATTTAGACACGTACGAGGAGATCGTACAATTGTTTGCAAACATTGGTTGAGAGGTCTTTGTAAAAAGGGGGATCAGTGTGAATTTTTACATGAATATGATATGACAAAAATGCCAGAATGTTACTTTTATTCTAGATTTAGTAAGTATAATTAAGATGTAATCAAATATACTCTGTTTTTGAGAATATATATATATTGTAAGCTTACAAATATGTTTACTTCTATATTGTTTAATATTGTTTTCTTTGTGGTATTGCTAAGTTTTCCCAGTACAGGCATGTTAAAATCAATTATGAATTGTTAGATGCTTGTCACAATAAGGAATGTCCATTCTTACACATCGATCCAGAAACAAAAGTCAGAGATTGTCCGTGGTATGATAGAGGATTCTGTAGGCATGGACCATTATGTAGACATCGGCATGTACGTCGTGTCTTATGTATGGCCTACTTGGCTGGATTTTGTCCTGAAGGTCCAAACTGTAAATTCATGCAGTAAGTTTGTTATCAATTTAATTTTTTATCTGAATTTTATTTTAATTGAAAAATATTAAAATGGTTTCTGTTATTTATAGCCCAAGATTTGAATTACCAGCAGTGCAAGACATGCAGCCTAAAGAGGGCAAAAAAGTAATGATTACGTGTCATTTTTGTGGAGAAGGTGGCCACAAAGCCATTTATTGCAATAAAATGCCACCTGATGTACGTGAAGCTCAAGTTAGACAAGAAATAGAAGGTAATTCTCATGCTACACATCATATGAATATGCACAATGGACCTCCTCCACGGGGGCCTCAAAAACCACTAGAAGAAGTTACTTGCTACAAATGTGGTACTAAAGGTCATTACGCTAACAAATGTCCCAAGGGTCATTTAGCATTTTTAAGTCATGCTGGAGGTAGTGGGAGTGGAACTCAAAATCAGAATTATCGCAGATGATTTTACTTGTTTTATTTATGTAAGATCGATATCGTAATTTTATTTGAATTCAGGAAAATCATTCGCCTGTAAAAATTTCTGTCATATACTAAAATAAGTTTAATACGATTTTTTTGATATTGATTCTTAATTTCAATGTGTGATGTATAAAGTGAAAATATATGATAAAATTAAGATTGTATTATACGATAAAATATTGATGAAATTAAAGGATATTTCAGGCTGATATATTATCAAATACATACTATAACAAATTTAATTTATTATTTAAAGAATTAAACATATTCCTAAATAAGTTTAATGTATTTAAGGGTATTTGCTAAATTGTTTAACACTCCATTCTTATGAGCGCACCGATTTTCGACGTAGAACGTTATAAAAAGATATATTGTTTGCCACTAATTTACTTAATTTGTGACGTTGAATATGGGAAGACGTACTTCGCCATCTATATATGAACTGGCATTGTAAGACTATTCGCATTTTAATATCTTGTCCGCTAAAATATTAACAATATTCGTTTTTCGCGTGCTCGTTATTAGAAATATGAAATTCCTTCGTTATTGAATAATGTGCATTAAATACTTAAAACATAATTCATTCTTTTACATTTTTCGGAATATGTAGTACCTACAAACATAACGTCCAACGTTTTTATTAAAAGAACAGTGCAGTCACCGGAACCACAAAAATACTGAATATCACTTGTTATATGCAAAAAGCAAATACAGTGTCTTTTTAATTAAAAAAGGGACATTCTATTTTCACAAGTGCATTTCCTATCATGTTGTGTTGTAATCGATAACTTCAACATAATTAGCAGGAAAAAGTCCATAGGTTCCATCAGGTCCAAGACCTTGCCACCACCCTTCGTCGATTGCATCTATGTGCGTGATGATGTCTCCAGGATCAAAAGTAATTTCTGTATCATCTGCTGCTTGATAATCATACAAGGCTCTTGCTTTCATTCCTTCATTGTTCGGATCAAAATACAAGTACTGACCATCCATTTGGCTATATAATTCATTTTCAGTAACTACTTCTTTCATCAATGATGATTGCTCAGGTTCCTCTTGTGCCTCTGCTACTTTTGTTTCCTGAGACTGTGTTTGAGCTGAAGATATATTTGGAGTAGCGGTCACTGCAGTATCTACATTGTGGGTTTTGTTCGGTTCTATTTTCGTTTCCTCTTGTTCTTCAGCATGAGATAACTCCTGTTGCTGACTTTCCTCGAATGCCCTTTTAGTCGCTTCTACATGACTATTCTTCGGTACATATTGTTGCTGTACCGAAGAGGACTTCATCTGTCCAGCCGCGGAGTTTTGTTCAAAAATGGCTCGCGCATTTATCGTTCTTTGAGCTATTAATTGCTGCGTTTCTTTGCTTCTTTGCCGTCTTAATTCTTCACTTCGTGATTTATGATCATCATCAGTATCATTGCTATAATGTTGACTTGCTGCTAGTTGATTACGTAAATTATTTGCGGCTTCAGCACGTTGTTCTGCCAATTTTTGTCGCGCTATTGAGTTTTCTTTGGCAGTGACCTATAAAAATATTAATATTTTTTAAATAAATAAAATGTTAAATATTCAATAATTGTAAATAAATTTATTTACCTTCTGTTCTCTAAGCAGTGCCTCTTTTTCTTCTCTAGATTTAATTTCTTCTTCCAGTCTCTGTCGTTCTTTTTCGCATTTCATGCGTTCCTGTTCAAGTCTTTTTTTCTCTTCCATTTCTTCCCTTTGCCAGAATTGATCGCGTTCACTTGCATTTATTTCTTGTTCAGGAATTACTCTACAATATATGTTCTCTTTTATTGAAGCTCTTAACATTATTATATATGACACAATATAAGTAATTACCTGCGATATGTGGTACCGACTGGAGCTGCATTACCCTCATTTTCACCACGAGGTTCATTAAATTTATAAGCAGAAGCTGTTGCTCTAGCAAGTTTTTCCATAATAGAATCTACTTCAACATCATCTTCAGAGCGAGCGGTAATTGTTATGTGTGCACCTTTTAATAATTTTTCTACGTCTCTAATATGATTTGCACAAGTACCCTTTCTAACAATTGGTGCACCTTCTCCTTGCTGAAATATATATTGCAATATGTAATTATATTGCTGCACTATTATTATTTATAATAATAAGTTGAATAATTATTCATTTACAAATTCTTACCCAATTTATTAAAAGACATTTCGGCAAACTGGTTTTAGTATCTATGACTCGGCAAAAGGCATACATGATATGACTGCTATCTAAACGATCAATCATTTCTTCTAAACCCCCATTTCCAGTACCAACAACTTTCAAGTTGTTGCTCTGTCCTTCATATCCAAATACAGCCCTATAAATAACATCCGTTTCATTGATCTGTTTTATGATGTTTGTAATGCATGCATCTATGAAATAGAAGCACATTTTGCTACTGTAAGCAATAATTGAGTACCTTACACTACTTGTATCGATTGATAAAAGTAAAAATAAAAGTTACGAAACATAGGAAACTTATTTATTTATAAATTTAATTGAACATTTGTATTCTTTTTATGGCTCGTCCGAACGGATAGCCGGGACGATAAAATAATATGAAAGAAGACAAGTGCAAGCTTACCAGTCAGTAGACGACTTATCGTCGACTACGTTCTGCCAAGCGGCCTCCAAAGCGTCTTTATTTTTCGTTAAATTAATTGACATGTTTCACAATTAATCTAAAATCAACTGTAAGAATAAAATGTGAACGTCACTAGCGAATTAATGTCACAGACGCATCTTCGCGTTTTGCCTTTTTGATTAAATGTCAACGCCCTTCTGTTACCAACCGCAAAACAGTGATCTTACTGTGTAGGTAACATTATTTAAATCAATTCACAAGCAACAATTTCATATTATATTTAAACTACGCACACAAACGCAATTCAGTGTATGTTAAAACGTATTTTGACAGACGTTATTGACTAAATTCCTTGAGACTATCATACAGAGAACGATTGGTCATGATGTAGGTAATAAAAGAGTTCTCCAATCAGCAAGTATAACAGGAACAAATGAAATGTAAGATACAGTTGAAATGTTTTTATATATAATACAATGTTAACATATTATATTTTAACTTTTACCTTTTATCAACAATTTTTTCAATAAGTATACACAACTGATTCATAAGTTCAAGTAAAATTACTTATTTATCGGTCCAATAAAAATATTGAAACCGGCTTTCAAAGAAACGTTTTCAAACCATAACGGATGCGGTGTTATAACAACTTTTTTATCGGTAATAAACTCTAGCTTAATTTTGAGTTTAAGTAATTATTATTGTTGCATTATGCTAATTAAATAATACAATCGAAGAATAAAGATTGAATATTTTTCATCAGTTCAAAATGGTAAGTTTTCCAATCAGTGGGTTAACCTGTACTCCTTCCTAGCAATATTAAATAACTTTATTTCAATGCTTTCTTACAGTTATTCTATTCATTCTTTAAATCTTTAATTGGGAAGGACGTGGTTGTAGAATTGAAGAATGATTTAAGGTGAGTAAAAAAAAGGAGACATTATTGTATAAGAATGTTTATAAAAAGTAACCTAATGCAATCTTTGTGTTTAGTATTTGTGGCACTCTGCATTCTGTTGATCAATATCTTAACATAAAGTTAACAGATATAAGTGTAACCGATCCTGATAAATATCCTCACATGGTTTGTAACTTTTATAATCTTTGTTATAAGTGTAGTATAAAAAATATAATAGAAAGTAAAAATATATTACATTTCAGTTGTCCGTGAAAAATTGTTTTATTCGTGGATCAGTGGTACGTTATGTACAATTACCAGGAGATGAAGTGGATACCCAGTTATTGCAAGATGCTGCACGTAAAGAAGCAGCAGTTCAAGCAAGATAGTTTATAGCATTATTAGATTTAAAAATCGTTTATTATATATTATTAAAATCAATGATAATATATAGTAAGTATACAAATTATAAATTTGTGTAAGTTTATATTAATGTAATGTTATAGATACATTATATCATATAAAGAACAGGAATGTTACAAAGAACACGTGTAACCACAGGAATACAAAATAATGTTATGTATTATTTATAAATGTTTTGATACAAATAATAAGTGTATAAAAATATAAATATATACATTTATATATAGTACGAAATCAAATAAAAATTTAATTTATGCATCTTTTGTCCATTCTACCAGTGATTTATCGAACCAGATATATTTACCTTTTATATCTGTATTTTCTGGTAATAATGCAGCAAAAACAGGAGCTACAGCACCTTGATCAGGTGTCAATGTTCCTTTATGACTAGTCATATCAGTGTCCACATAACCAGGATGAACAGCATTTACTGCAAGATCTTCTCTAGAGTCTGAATTAAACATCTTTTGATGAACTCTAGCCAAAGCAGAGACCCCCACTTTGCTTGCAACATAGGCAGAATTTGACCAACCATTTTCCAAGTGTGTGTTTGTTTTTGCAGTACTGAAAGTATATATTTGAAGAATTTAATAGTGGAATAAAGAAAACTATGCTCTGTTATACTATAATTACTAATTCAACATACTTAACAAATTCATGCATGATGTTATCTAATTCTTCTTCTGTAAGATTTGGATCAGAAAATCGTTTCCTCAATGATTCACTAGGAATTAGTGACAATCGACCAGAAGAACTTGATACATGAACTACGCGAGCATGTGGTTTCAACAGTGGATAAAGTAAGGTACATACTTTTCTTAGAGCAAAATAATTTACTCTAACTGTTTCTTCAGCTTGTACAGAAAATGGTTCCGTAGCAGCCATCTATATATAAAACAGAATATAAATATTATTAAAGGAAAAAAAAGAAAAAATTAATATATAAATACCTTAAAGGCAATTGCAGCATTATTGACTAAAATATCAAGACCTCCGTATGTTTTTTGCAAGTAATCACGAAAAGTAGAAATACTGTTTTCATCCGTAACATCAAGTTGGTGGAACTTAGGTGTTAAACCTTGATCCTCTAATTGTTTAACAGCATTTTGCCCACGGTTAACATCACGAGCTGTTAAATAAACGACTCCATCAAATTGCTTACAAAGTGCTTTTACAATGGCAAATCCAATGCCTTTATTTCCACCGGTTACCTAAATGTTCGATTTATGTGATTATTAACGCATATACTTATATACTTATAACTGTTTAGTATTTTTACGTGATTCTTATGCTAAATATATAAATTATTGTACTAACCACAGCTACACGTGTCATATTAATTACTACTTTTGCAGAGCTTCTTTCGAAAGAATGAAAATAGTAATCCGAATAGGTTACAATTATTACACCACTTCAATAATGCCAACCTGTTTGAGAGACTGACTCAACCATTATATAACCGTACATATATATACACACACACACACTATCAGTATTTAATATTGTTATCTGTAAACGTGATTATGATACCTCTACTTCTGTTATCTCTTTATTTTTTCATTATATACATTTTTATTGCAATGAAACATGTATGCACATTTTAAAGAACAAATATTTCTTATTTACGCTGTTTATTACGGTTTATATTTTCACTAAATAATTCATTTATATTTATATGTTTAAGTTAGTATATCTAAACTAGCTATTCTATATTGTCTCGTTTGAATATTTCTGACAAGAACAAAATTGTATTGTTTGTTAATTAGTTCAGTTAATGAATCTAATGTTATATATCCAAAACCTATGCCCTTTGCTTCAGCAAAGGAAAAATCACCCATTGTTAAATAGCCCATAATTTCTCTATCACAGGAATGCCGTACATTGTTACACTCTGGAAGATACAATTGCATCATCTTTTGAAATTGCTTAAATACAATTTCACGACTAAATTTTAATAAATTTTTGCTCTTATTTTCATGATCATCAGCTTGAAAGTCTTTGATTAAAATCTTGCTTATGTTATCAGTTAATTTCTTTTTATGACGAATTCTTTGTCTTCTTAAACGTTTTAGAAGAATTAAGTGATTTTTTCGTGAAGTTTTACGAATAATTTCATTTCGATCAAAATTTAATTTTTCAACTGGACCTGACCACTGTCTATTATGTTTAAACTGGTTTACATCCTCTGCTGTTGGCATACATATTACTGCAAATCTTTTAGGACATCCTTTTTGTAAAATGGTTACTTTTACTCTAACTAGATAATTTCTATCTTCTAATGCATTTTGTAAAGTAAAATTTGATGTATGATTAATTGGTTTATTTTGCTTTCTTTTATTACTTTCTTCAGCTCGTAAACTGTCCCTCAACAATTTTAATAAATGTCGATTTCTTAATACAGAAAATTCTTCTGTGCCTGTCCATTCTTTCATCAGGATTTTCCACTCACAGAAGAAAGGACTAGAAATTCCTAATTTAACAAAATTTACACGTCTATTTGGTGGATAACGAAAATATTTTTCTCTTAATTCTAACTTTGTACTCAATGCTTCTCGTGCATAAGCAGGTGTATCTGGATCATTAATATCTGGTGACCGTATATTTCCATATTCAAATGCTATAGATTTTGATTCCCTAAATGCACCAACTCTTACACAACGAAATATACATGCAAGCCAAAATGGCATTGCCCAATTGGCAGGGAATATAATATCTATACTTGAACCTAAACCTATAAGAATATGCTTGTCAGTATCAAATACTTTTTTACTTAAGGTAAGTTGTTACTGAAAATTACCTGCATTACCAGTTCCAGGTTTCTGAATTAGGAGTATAGGTATTTTTGCCATGATTTCTTCATTGAAATATCTATCATTACTTGTGCCAGGTACTAAACATTTGCTTCTTAAATTATTTATTGTACTTGTCCTTACACATTCTTTACTAACTTTATCCCGTATTTCCTTCTCCCAAATTGGACTCGAATTTGCACTCGTAGGAGGCATTGGCATTATTTCAATATCCTGTATCTCTCTTAATAGTTTAACTCTTTTTTGAGGCAGATGAAACCTAGGATCTAAGATGGTAAATCCAAGAACAATATTTGGTGGCAATTGACTAGGAGACTGTAATGTTTTCAACACGTGCCATAACTGCCTTTGAATTTTTAAAGATTCAACATTTTCGGGGTTATTGTAATATTCTATATGCCATGACTTAAGCTCTCCAATTTCTGCCTCGTGATCCATTTCATTTCCCCCAGATTGCATTACATTTGAAGGATTGGTTTTAGAAGACATATTTTTATTTGGTAGATGAAGAGCATCCGTTAAAACACTGATTGTTAATGGACCATAAAATCGGAATCGATTGAAGGTATTTCTATGAATACTCATATTACAATTATTTCTGTTAAAATATTGTTTGCATTCTGTAGGCATATCATTTGTAGATTCACATAATTCAAATTCGAAACTGGGTATAATTTCCGCGACAAAGTCATCTAAAAAAGAAGGATGAACCCAGATCCAAATTGTCCTGAAATTAAGTTGACTTGATCTCCACAAAAAGTGTACGTGACCAATCGGAGATCGCGGGTATCCATTTTTCTTAAAAAACATTACGGTGCCTTCACGCACACCCGTAATAAAAATTTTCGCTGCAAACGTTAATTCGAGCGGGTTGCAATGACTTTTTAAAGTTTCCTTCAAAATCTCCTCTGGACCATTTATCTCGACACACGTATAATAAGAAATATCTTGCATCAAGCAGTGCCTTGCGACAGCACGGTAATTAGCTTTAAAACATTTATCATTCGCGTAACTCGCGATTCTGTATCCCCATTTTTCCGTCATGTGAAAACGTTTTGCATGCCAAATATGAGTTTCTAGCCAAATTTTGGTTCGCTGCCTTCGATTATATTCCGAAAGCAAATTACGCGGTCGCCTGCGATATTTGCGCGACGGCCTTTTAATTTTAGGCGGCAATCCAGATTTAGTCATTTGATTTAAATGCGCCTCTCTCAATCTGCGCGGCAACCGTTTTACATTGTGAGACATGATGCGTCTACGCATATACACGGGAAGCTTTTGAAATACGAGTTTTGTTTGTTGAGGATTCTCTGTAAATAAATAATTTTAATTAAATAATCGCATATACATGAATTTCGAAGATTATTTTTATATGAAGATCTAGGGGTATAGTGATTTAAGGGTCTAGGAATTTAAAAATATATGCCTTCATATAATACATACACTATTTTGTGTAATATCTTAAATAAATAGATATCACATAACGTACCTATAGAATATGTCATTGCAGCAATTTCGCTAGCTCTCGAAGAAACAAGTTTCATAATATGTACTTGAGGTGGTAATTTTTCAGAACCACCTAAAAATTCGTCGAACTGCTCGTTTCCCGCCATCTTTTGTCTATAACGATTTAAATTTTTGTTTACACTGAACTAACCAAAAATTCGTGAACTTGTTCTGTACAACGAATATATACTAATAAACCAAAATAACAATAAAATACAATCGGAGGTCATAAACAATCAATATGGTAATAATTGACACATGTGTAAGTTATAAATGAATGTTACATTATTTAATGTTACTCGAACTTTTCATGTGAAAGTTGCACGTGTCAACAAAAAGCATGACTAAAAATATCTCTCTTTGAACACAGAATCGCTTATGAAATCCAAATTTAGCATAAACTACTTCACACGACTATCTGTAGAGGGCGTTCCATGACAATGAGAATTAGACCTAAGGACAGAGAACAATGCAATAATTACTCGTCAAACCGTGTAAACGCAATATGCGTATGATTGTGCTACTATCTAAATATTCGTTATCCAATAAGAAATCGTGGTATGGAATGATATATCAAATAGTAAAAGTTTCATTGGTTAAACAATTGATTGCGCATATACTTGGTAAAAATCATGGAATTAATATTTAGAATTTATTAGTAATTTATAATTCGCATAACAATAATATTCAATTTCAATTTGCTTACTGTTCAATGTCTAAACATTTAAAAGCGCATTTAGACTGAACGAGCGAATGTTCATTTTTCCCCCCATTTCGACGAAATTTAAACATAAACGAGCATTCTTCCGTTATTGAGCAATTACTTCCTGAATTGGATGCTGAACGCGAACGAATGCTCTAGTAACGAAGAGCACTTGCTCGTCGAATAAATTCAGTAAAACGAGAGTCAATCCAGTGCGATTCAACTTGACGTGATTTAATATAGTAGATTTCAAATCCATAGGATTCAATTTAATCTCACTGGATGCAATCTGGTGCGATATATCTTCACATATTTTAATTTTTTGCATTTCAATTAACATGATTCGATTCTATAGAATTCAAGTGCACAAAATGCAATTCAATATATGTCAGATATAATTCAATTTGACTTATTTTAATCGGAAACGATTTGATTTGACGCCATTTAATTGAATGCGATTCAAATTGACGCGAATCGATCCACCATTTGGAACACTCGATAGTTCACACAATTAGTTCGTTCGATGTTCGTTTCTACTGAACGAGCACGAACGAATGCTCTTGCTCTTGGTCCACGTTTTCGCTCGTTCAGTAAAAACGCACCTTAACATGATCCTTCTGCTAATGTCAAGACCCGCGCCTTGAAATAGTCGCCATCTTTGCGACTGGGTCGCATCCCTGAATTTGGCCCGTCGTATGTTCCGCGCAGCTTTATGTAGTGTCAGAGAAAAAAATCGTTGAAAGTTGATGACGAAGACGGCAAAACGATTCGGCTAGACCGGATAAGCGTTCGAGCTGTGCCAAGAGTGTAGGCCAGCGCGAAAGTGAGTGGAACGCGTGGGGCTTACGTTCTCTTGGCCTCGCTACAGTACGTGATAGAAATTTCGGCATTTGACAAGTGACACATCGAATCGTATTTAGCTTTGTTTGCGCGGTGATAATTAGACTGTAGCTGGAAATTCGTTGTCCGGCCTGTTACCGGCTCGTATGCCATTGTAGTGTGTGTGTTCGAACATTTTTTTCTGTCGCGGTGTATAAGAAAAATGAGTTGTCAACGTAACGCTGGCAAGATCACAGTGCCGGATGAGCTGCGAGACATTCTGTTGGAGTTTACAATTAGCTATCTGTTGGAGCAACCAGTGGATATCATCGACTATGCCGTAGGTTTTTTCACGCAACTTCGGGAAAGTCGTCAAACTCAGATAATTCCGGCCCCTGCGCAGACCTGCTCTTCTACGCCGGACGAGTCCGTCGATGAAGGTAAGCCAGCGAATTTTCATTCGGGATGCGACTTCTCATCGCGTCCAGTATTCGCCTCGTAGCCGTGCGATATACATTACGTTTCGTGACTTTGAGCGCGCGTTAGCGATATCGTTTCAATCTAGAAACTGGACTTTGTTTCAGAAATTTGACCAGTGTGATTGCATTCAGTGATTCTCGTGTGACTTTGTGAAAAATTTGCATACGCGTATATATCCATGGAAACCGGTATGTTCTGAAACCGTTGGTTTATCTATTGAATTTAAAACTTTCAAACTTGAAATTTATTTTGTTCACGATACCGTTTCGAGTAATCGGCGACATTAATATTTCTTTGAAATATTTTTAGCGCAACCTCGAAGATAAAAGAAAACATAGCCTGTACGATCGTTGAATTTTGCATTGACATTTCTTTCGTTCGTTACAGAACCGCCGGTTGCAAGGTTCGCAACGAGAAGGAAGAGTGTGTTCGCGGAAACCTACAATCCCGAAGAAGACGAAGAAGACGATGGAGTCAAGGTACGTTGTTTTGTGTTTATAGAGTGATCTTTTCCGCCGTTTCTCCAACGAACCTTAATTGTTTTCAGTGACATTCCTTTTTTATTCTCCTCTGTATGTACATTCCTTATTATACTTTTGGACACGTTACGCAAGGAACCATGTTGTCGATAGTACATATCCTCGTGCTGCTCGTACCACGCTGAATCGATAATCGATCGATTTCGTTTTAATCGGACCACACGGCAAGAATCGACCACGATGCGGAAGACGATTCGTTAAGAACGTTCGCTTTACTGTCTTTCAGCCGAACACGTTCGAGTCGCGGAGGGTACGAAAAGCCCATTTATTCCGGTACATTGGAATAAGACAAGGATAGGGTTAATTAACGGGTTTCGCGTTGATCCTATATATTTGTACACACACGTACACGTGCACGAAGCGTATAAAAGCTAAATATGGATGTTTTATGACTCGTTCAAGTAATAACAAGAGCGAGCGAGAGAAACCGCACGTGGTACCCAGAAGACGATGCCGTTTCGACTGAGGCCAGTTTTTTTATAGGTTAAATATACGTTGATCACCGTATATATCGTTCCTGCGATATAGGATACAACTTTTTCTTTTTTCCTATCGAAACACCGTACTCAGGCTGTGCGGGTGACGAAACGAGATGATTTACTTTGCTCGACGATGCGAGCGATGTACCTTTGTGACGTCAGAGCGCGTGTTCGATAACCTGGTACCGACGTGACTTACATATGTATGATATACGTACGTACACGTGAACGTGTTCGTGAACGAGAGAGACAGAGAGAAAAGAGGGAGACTGGTAAGGCCGTCAGATCGGGATCGTACTGCTCGAAAGCATTTCAAAAGGCAACGTTGATCTCGATTATCGGGAACCTGAGGCTATTCAAACTGATCGAAGAAGCATCCTAATGTACTGGGTGATTTAACAAAAACAAAGCACTTAATCGTCTTATTGTTAGCTATAATTGGAAGTATTTAGAACAGAATAATTCCGTAAGGAGAATATTTGTTTTCCGGATCAAAGTCGTCGATTATATTGTAGAATAATTGGAACCGTGCTAGATGTTGTTCTATGCACGTATTTCGTTATTGCAATTATAACCAGTGTAGATCAATACAGAAGATAGTCGATTTGATTATTCCTCACGTAAAAAACGTGATACGTAAGCTTAAAATAGTTAGAGGGTCATTTACTCGAACGACTTAATTGCTCAGCAAGGTACATCAAAAGTTTCGTCATGCGAAAAACGTTAAATTCACCGTTTTTCTTTCCAGCCGAAGAAGTTACTACTATCTTATCATTCTACTTTATCATCACCCGTTGTATAGCCACGCGCTTTATCGCCGTGTGTCGTATATGTAGTCGCGTGTTATATCGCCGCTACAGAAACGAAATAAGAGCGTGCGTTATATCGAGAACGTAGATTTCAAAGTCTGTAAATGTAGACAAGTTAGCTCAAAATTCTACTTTCGCCAAGATTTTCAATTTCCTTCGTGTTTCAGTCCGAGTAATTAGATAACGTCAGCCAACACTCCGAGTAGGGTTTGTGTTTTAAGTTTGTCATTTCATCTTGTGCAAAAGTTTGCTCTCGACACTGATTTTACAAACTAGATACGTCGAGAAACTTTGAGGAATCGTTAATTGCACGCGTTCAAACTGACGTCCAACATTATCTCGCTATTAGGATGCAGATGAATCCAATTGAAACGTTGTTCCTTCTCGGAATGAGAACGTGTAACAAGCGTATTGTGGATCAGTAATGCATTCGTTACTTTTGTAATAGTAACAGATGTTCCGAGAGACAAACAGAACGGACTAAAGGTTAAAACTCGAAGCTGCTTTAAAGGATAAAAAATAGCTCCGATAGAAACAATGGTATTATAATGCCATTAAGAAACTTTGAAGACCAATTTCTGCCTTATTCGAGAAAAGTACGTGCTGAAATTTTGCAGAATTATCTCTTTCGGGTTATCGTATAATACCCCAAAGTTTGGAGTCGATTCTTGCTTTGAACATTGTGCGCCCTCCCTCTTAGATTTGTTTATCCTTGTCTTGAATTTCTAAAAAAAGCTGATCGAGGATGCAGAACATCTGTAGGCAAGCAATAATAGTAACCTTCGTCGTATCATTTCCTATGAATATTGTACTAGACAAACTAGATGATAGCCTAGAATTATTACTAAAATAATTTCACTTTTTCTTACTGTCGTATCGACTGCTGATAAACGAAACGTAAGATCGTTAAAGAGAGTTCGATTTTTCTTTTTTTTTCAAACTTACCGTACTGTGCAATCTACCCACGCGTATCTAATGGAAAACCCTTTCTTTTTATAACTTACACGTATATTCAAGCCTAGCGTTATCGATCGATCACGCTGCAATTAAGTTATAATATCGATGCGTGTCGTACGAGGATCGTAATTTCTCGACAATTTACGAAGCTACTCTGAAGCAAGCGTTTATACACTCAATTATTATTCATTTGTTGGTAATTGAAGGAGAAATTTGATTGATCGGAAAAGGGCAAACAACCACGCGCAAGTTAATTAATTTTTACTGTAATTTCCGTTCGAGGATTTAAGCATTTAGCTAAGTAGCGACTAAATCTGGATGAATTTCCTATAAATTGGTGAGAATTTTATTGCGACGATTAAACTCGACAATTGTATATTAACGATAGTTCATTGGTTACAGATGGTACACCCGAAGAGCGACGAGCAACGGCAGAGGCTCAGCGAGAGTGTCAAGAATATTCTTCTGTTTCGGGCCCTAGATGAAGTAAGTTAAACATAGTACGCACTCGCGTACAAATTTACGTGTAGCTGTATGTAATGGAAATGAGAATACAGAACGACGAGGGTTCGCGCAACTCGTGGAAATGCCAACGAGTACGTGCAATCTGCTCAACCTGGGATCCAGACTAGTGATGGATTCAAGTATTTCACTAACAGGTTCGAACATTGACCGACCAAATTCGAACGATCTATAAATATTTTAAGAACAGCAATTTGAACGCAACCAATTCGAAGACATGCTTTAGAAGATTTATTCCAACACTATGTTCAACAATGTTCTGTCATTTACTTGGTTAATGCTATTATTTCGTTCGCATAGAATTTTTATTGTTTCTGACGTGATCCTAGGAAAGTTTAAGACGTGTCCACAATACATATTGGAGCAGGGCTTACCTAACTTTTATGGGCCAAGTCCAGCTATCGAAAGCTGTCACTTTTTGCGATCTACCCGCTTGTAATGCATTGCTTTTCAAAGTTCTAAAATTTAAAAATCAAACTTCCGAGGTCGAGTTTGACCATTTTCAAAAGTCCCAAAAATCTGAACGTCCTATAGTAACAGAATATTAATAAGAATGAACTTGATCCCATCACTAATTTAGGCGCTTGGGAAGCGTTACTACGGCGGGGCAAGTTAAACTGGATACAAATATAAACGTGTAACGATCGTGTCGTTCTTCTCGATGCTTGCTTTTAATTCCTCTTGGAAATTGTTCAATTCCTTGGTAATTACCGTGGGGTACACGAATCGCGCGACGTATGGAACGTTTGCCGCATTTAAATCATATACCGAGGTATCCCGTGTGTAACTGGGACACTGGCTGCAGCTTTGAAACGATTAGAAATAGAAGGAACGTCACGAGGCAAATGGCCTCAGATTCTTTGCATTTCTGCGCTGGTGTTTTAAAATGATCGCTTTAAAAGGTATTTTTAATGTACCATATCCTTCGATATATACCTTTGTCCTGGTTATGTGGGATATTTTATCTACGCGGCGATATTCATATAAATGGTTAATTAAATTAAATAACGATGATATTTGATGTCATCGTTATCTTGCTACAGAGTAGAAACAAATCATTATTTTGAAATATTGTAAATAAGAGTAATGACAAATTTGCAATGCTCTTTAACTCTTGATATAACTCGGAGAGAGAACTTGATATAAAATTTCTTATCTTCATAAACAGAAAACGTGCGCAAATAAGGCAAGTGGTGAGACATTTTTCCTCTACAATTCCTGTTACCTGAGAAAAGCCTAAGTTGCACGTGAACGTGCATTTAAAAAAAAAGCAAGGGGCAAGTCCATTGGACTTACCTTGACCGGCTAAAGGTTAAAATATCATGTCAACCCGAGACCAGGTAGCTTGAAATTACGGGACAATTATCGCTGCTGTTCTCTAATATTAGAAAACAGAATAGTAGAGGTTTCTAGTCATGAAATATTCAAGGCACGCATACATACGCATCGCGCGAATTCTTTTGCAGGAACAAATGGCGGACGTGTTGGATGCAATGTTCGAGAAAACCGTACAGCCGGGGGAATTCATTATCCGACAAGGTGACGACGGTGACAATTTCTACGTCATCGAGAGGTAAAATATTCTTCGGTAACCAATTATTTACTGTAATTTCCATTAACGCGTTAGATAGCCTGTCAAATTTCATGCGTATTTTGTTGCACGACGCAATCAAAATGATTAATTGACACGAAATTATTGAAATTTTCTAATTTACTCGTATTATCCATGTTACGTCAATGGTATCAATAACTTTTACGTCATGCAACCTATCATTAAATTCCTGTTTTATTTCCAACGAGAATGTGGAGATTTAAGGGTATTGCGAATATTTGGATTTAAAAATATAAAAAAACCTTGAAGAAAATACAAGGAAAACCCAAAGAGAATCCAGAGTGATCAGTGGGAGGACCTAAGGAGAGCCCCACCTAATCAGGATTACCTTCATCACTCTCGTTCGAGAGTTAATTAATTTGATTGAACAAAACTGGGGTTGCTAGAATAAAGCGATAAGAGCCGCTCATGGGAAATAGCTGATTCAGTTGTCGTTTATTGGTTTCAGAGGAAAATTCGAAGTGTACGTGAAGGATCAATCGAACACAGAATCAATGATACACACGTACGATAATTGTGGTGCTTTCGGCGAACTCGCGCTTCTATACAATATGCCCAGGGCAGCGAGTATCAAGGCTATCACTCCTGGCACACTATGGGCTATGGATAGACAAACTTTCCGGCGTATTCTTCTCAAATCCGCCTACAAGAAACGCAAGATGTACGAGGACCTTATCAACAAGGTCCCGATGCTCAAGTCTCTCGAGGCAAGTTTCCAAACGCATTGCGGTAAAAATAAATACAGACTGGATTGTTTAACGATAACTGGATAAGATACAGATAACAATCACCGATAATCACTTGCTGTTTTGATAATATCGGATTTAAAGAACAAATTAAAATCGCATTACAAAAGACTGCTTTATCTAAGTAAATATTGGACAATTCAAGTATGTACTTTTGATTTTAGTATCACGATAGTTTTAAATCTCGAAAAACCACTCGTTCAAAGGGCTGTTTCTAGAAGTGCTACGCTTAAAAAACTGACAGTACTATCAACAATGAGACATCACTTTGGTATCATGCTGCTCCGCAGCTAATAATTCTAGTAATTGAAAGTTAGATTGGTAACTTCAAGATTGACCTTTGGATCTTTTTTGTCTTTAGCCATACGAGCGCATGAATCTAGCGGATGCTCTGGTACCAAAGCAGTATACAAACGGTGAACAGATAATTAGACAGGGCGACACAGCCGATGGGATGTATTTCGTGGAAGATGGCGTCGTCAGGATCACCATACTCAGCGACCATGGTCACGAGATTGAGGTACGTTAACGTGTTTGCTTTTCATTTTCCATCGCGTAACATAATTGCGACGATCATTGACCTACATAGCTTCATATGACGAGATTGGTATGATGGCTGCCAGGAGACTGGCGCACTAATTACGTTGTCAATTGTATAGATGTCATTTGGTATTCTATTTGATGTCACAGATTAACAGAGTTCCCGCTGGTGGGTATTTGGGCGAGTTAGCGCTCGTGACACACAAACCTCGCGCTGCTTCGGCCTACGCTGTGGGCGACGTAAAGCTGGCCTGTAAGTTCATCTTCAAGATTAAGTAATTTCCTCTTCTTTCTACCCTTTCCCAGCCATAGACATAAATAAAAAGTAAGACAAGAAGCGGCCAAACTAAGGTGAACCGGTCAAAATCAGATGGTATAATGGAGAGCTCGTTATGTATCGTGTTGCAACGTTTTACCCTTTTTTGGACTTCTTTTCAAACTCCTCGTTATTACATGTGGATGACCTTTCAATTTCTACATACGCATCTGAATTAGATAATTCCTTGTCTTGATTTTTATTTTCGTTTAAATTGTTCCCATTTCGCTGCTTCAGAAATTCTGTACACTGGCAGACGGATGTCTGTGTCGTTCTAAATGCCAACGAAAATATCTTATATTGAACTTTAAACTGGCGTAGGTGGTATCTGTGTTCAAATGAAATTTGGGAGAAGAGAAATGGATCACGGATCCCTACTTAGTTTTGAGATTGAGAAGACCTTTTTTAAACGGAATATCTACCACAACTTGAGATTATCAATTTTCCTTTCTATTTTATAAGTGAATAGAATCAATACCGAAACATTTCGTAATTAGATTTTATTATTAGTGATACGATGTTCGTGCTTCAGAGTTCTCGACGATTTTTAAGTTTCGAACATTCGTATACGAGGCAACACGGTTTACACAGATTGTCCGACGTATCTTTATGAGGCACTTGATTCTTAAAAATGATTGTTCCAGTTCTGGACGTAGAAGCATTCGAGCGTCTGCTTGGGCCTTGTATGGAGCTTATGAAGCGTAACATCGACGATTACGAGGATCAGCTAGTCAAGATCTTTGGCAGCAAGGCTAACATTACTGATATCCGATGAACTGTTCGCCGACAGTGATACGTTGCACTGCTGTACTAAAGGTACACAAACAAATCTTTCGTACAGTAATGTAAAATGAGCACAAACTTGTACCACCCACTTTATGAATCTCATCCGCGTGTTTTCAAACATCATCTCAAGTCGACTTTCGTAATGACTGTTCACTTAGACGTGTACCAGTATGAATCGTCGTTAATAGTTACCAAGTTTGTACCTATAATACACACACACACACTGAAGGAAAGAACAAAAAAGCAAAAAGAAAATCCAAAAAGAAAACTGTAGGCATCTCGACTGTTCGTGTCTGCGTCACAGTACTGAAGTGAACTTTCTTAAGACTGCATCGGATCAAGAAGTATTAGCCTATCTTGTCGTGTGCTCGAACCGTTAACAAGATAGAAGTCTGAGTATTAAGTAAGATTTTCATTGAATCGTTTATAAAAAAGAGCAGAGAATGGAAATATCTCGGAGTGATGCAACGTATCAACAAACTCCTAGCACGCAGTTCTCAGATGATGTACCTTTTAACGCCATTCTTTATTCTTATACTTGACGTCTCTTGGGAGCTGTTGTCTCAAGTTTAAGGATCAGATCGATTATGATTATTTCGATAATATCTTCGGTGATACCATCGAAGATCAAGATACTGCTCAAGTGTCTTGCGTTACGTTTTCTTCGCCAAGTAGAAGGAGAATTTTTATTGATAGCTTATCGTCAAACTATTAGCTTAGTTATGAAAATGAAAAGAAACGCTAACATAGAAATACACTGGTTAAAAAAAGAACTTTTCGTAATCGGTGTATTTCCACGTCAACAGCTATAACGCTGAGTTAGAAAGATTAAAATCTAAAAAGGCAAAGAGCACAACAGGCAAGTTAGAGCAATTACTTAGTACCTATGATACTGCAATTTTTAAAACGTGGGAAACAGTAACTATTTTCTATGAAGAACGTATAAGCATTTATGTTAATCCTTCGGTAAGAAAGATGTGGAAGATTGGGGGCGGGGGTTAAAGAGAATTTCATCTTGAAAACTTTCGATATTTCCATATAACAGTGTCTCGGTAGAAAGTATCTCTCTGTCTTACATTTAACAGAACGATTTTCCTAATTCCCATGTTCCTAGTTTGATCATTTTTTTGCTCTTTGCATCGATCAGAGATAAAAAGAAGAAAGTATTACGAGACATGCATCATTCATGTGTGGCGCACAATACAACAAAAATTTATTTAATTGTTCATATAATATATATATATATATATACATATATATATACGCGCACAAGAAATTATGTAACATCAATATAATATCTGTCTGTGCGTATATTATTTATATTTGTTATCGCTTATCGTCGTTTGTTACGATTTGAAATAGAATGCTTGCTGTGTAGCGCACATCGTCGTATTTTTTAATCGCGAAACGATACATTATTTTTCTCTTTTTTTTTCTAAATAGCAAAAATGTTAATCGATAACACGCTATAACAGTCGTAGTCGCGTCACTTGTGTAAACAGAGCTATTTATTTTCAAAATTTGTGTGCCATTATCGCAGAAAGCAAAAAAAGAACGAATTAAATAAACAGCTATCTCTTATTGTAGACTCGAATGCGCAACCATATATTTTCATGGTGTTCGTATACCTGGTGTTTGTGGTTGATCACAGGTGCTAAACGATAAACCAACAAGTAAGAACCACGTTTTTTCTAATTCCGTCGTATTTTTATCTATCGAGATCTTTATACTCGCTGTATGCTAATTAAAAGAAAAAAACATCATACGACAGTGTAAAAGAGATGGATGAGCATTCTGGTCTTCAACCTGTTCATGTGTGTCTTATTGGTGAATCCTGTTGACGAATATCGACCAAAAAGAAACCTATGAACCTATTTTTGTTACACGTGTATGGTACACGTTATACATGTATGATATACGTCTGGCATCGTGATGAAAACGCAGTCTCAAACTAATTTGAACGTTGTGCGAACAAGTGCGTGTTGCTAGTCACTTTTTTAACGACCATCGCGCCCTCTTTTCGCGAAACGGTCGGATATGTAATTTTTATTATAAAAGGAAAAAGCAGCTATGTATTCATCGTGCGACTGAAACTCACTTACATAAGTGGTAAACTTTCCAAATAATATCACAATCGCAGGAGGGAAGGAGGAAGAGACTACTAGCGTATCGGAAACAAGGAGCAAGTCAAACAGCAATAGGGTTTAGAAGCGACGAACGTGTTTCGCGTCGTTCAGCCATTAACTTTAACGAATCTTTGTTCTCGTTTCAGTTCCTTCATATTCATCGAATGTATTTATTATTTAAGTTATCGTTGCAACAACAAACGTGTTTGGATAATGTCGTTAATTTTCTCGATTGTACGTGCCATTCTGTTCACTTGCTTTCAAGTTAAATGAAGCTTTTAGTCCTGTTTCCTAGTCTTCCACCGTGTCTCCAGACTGTGATATTATTTTTGACGGAGTACCTTATTCCTTTCATCTAGGTCTATGCTCGCTGAAGAGACATCTCCTCTCGTTGCGATAGCTTCCAAACGAACAGAAAGAAAGAAAAAAAAGAAGTAGAAGAGAACCTAGGAAATTATATCGTAGGATTGTCTCGACCAAACTCTGACCCTTGGACGGCGGACACGTAAATAGCGAAAATTTCGCTTCAATTTAATTAGCACCTTGACGACGTATATGTTTCGCCGAAGTTATTTCGAGGATTTGTTCATTTATTCTTCGGAAAGTCGATTAGTACCCCTTTCTGTGGAATTATTGTTTCGTCTGGATCACGATCGATCCGTCTTCGTCATTCGAGGGTTAATTATCATTGATTGTATCGTTAATGAAAGGTGATTAAAGAATTCCGATCGCGTTAACGTGTCGAGTAGATAGAACAAAATGAAGTTGGGCAATTATCAAGAGAAACGTATATGTATATTGCACACCGAATTGAAAAATGTACTAAATGTTTCATAACTCGTGGGACAAAATTTAGGTGTGATCAGAAGACACAAAGACAATGAAGGAAGATTATTAGTAAGAATGAATTATTTATTTGAAATTGTTTCGAGTAGCATTTAGCATTGTCAGATTATTTAAAATAACAAGTTCGTATCTCTATGCAAGCAGATAGGTGTGCTTCCATTAAAAATAATATCGTTCACTGATATTTATCCTTAACTGCTCAGATGTTATGATAAAAAAGACCTGTAGGAAGTAGGCCACATAATCACAGGGATCATGTCACAGATTCATCTGTCCCTCTTCTTTCCCATACCTCCATAACAAGACAGAATTGATCTATTATTTATACTTTTGTTCAAAATGATCTGTCGAACATATCCGTGAAATCGATTCACTGTATACCATTTGTGTCTCACACGTTATAAAACATGCTGTACATTTAAACACAAGTACTTATCTGTGCAGGGGCAACAGATTCAATGAATTAAATGTATAAACGCTTAAGTAGAATCGGTCCGATTCAACTGTGCTCTGTGTGTATCTACTAGTACGGTCTGCCTCTCTCCTAAGTGTTGCTCTTTCGTGCGTGCATGCACGCGTGTATGAATGTGTACGTATGAGACGACCGAGCCAGTTATTTATTATACTTGATTTGCATGAACCGTTATCCTATTTCGTCTGAACGTTTCGTGTCGTTGTCATTGAAGATAATCGAACAGTAGGTATAACAACTCGCGAACGAATCTCGCGTAATTTGTAATTGGTACACGGATTCCTTTCTTCGAGTTGTGCTCGTTCGAAGCGGTGCCAGGTTGCTTCGAATCGACGCAGTTCCATATCGTCTAGTCCAAATCGCGTCATCAAGACGGTTTCTTGTTTTCAACGTGCTAAGATTATTTTCTGATGCAGTTACGTCATTTCGTTATTTCGAATCGATAGTAGTACTCGATATTTGCCTGCTCCAGGTGCTTCGCGAGCAAGGAGATTACGAAGGCAATTTTCCGACAGGAAACTTATTCAGCAGGAAAGTATTGAGACGCTACTGCATAAATACGGATAACCGTTGTAATAACTGATCGTCGTATAAACATCGTGTTACACGAGTATGATTTTTAGTGATTTTAATAATATTCAAAATTGTCTTTTTCCCATAAGGTGCGTCAACGAAACCCGTCGTGTTCCTCGCGTAGTTTCTATTTCCCAAGTGTTAATAATATCGACATCCGTTCCAGAAACAACCCATTCTTGCACGTATCTAAGTGTAACAGTCTCTTAGCGTTGGACCAAGTATCTTAAAAAAAAAGCTGGAAAACGGAGCTTGCGACTATTTTCCTAGCGCTTTTCTCTTCCCTTCTCGCGCGAGTTTTCTCTCGTTGTTTCTAATTCTATGGGGAAAAATGTAAAATGTCATCCACCTTAATTAGGTGACTGTACGTGTATCAAAGCTCATGACCGTCTGTGCCCGCGCGCGTATGTGTGTGTATGTGTGTATAAATAATAAGTTAAAAATGTAAACTGTATCGTCTCATTGTCGTCCTTGATACACCATCTCTGCCACCTCCGCGATACTATTGTCCCTAAAAAATTTCCTACGAAGTACAGCCTTAATGTTTGCGTTAAACTTTTAACACACTGAAAGCAATACGAGCAATTTAACTCGATTGCGTATCGACAATCGTCCACTATCATCGACAAGAAATTCTCATGATGACAGTTTAGTCTGTACACCGATTTAACCAGATTTGTTTTTATTTCAATGCGATACTGTTATGTATTTGTGATTTTTATATTTAATGTTTTAAATCGTTATACTACATGTTACGAATTCCATCACACAGGTGGGCAACTACGTGCAAATTTTATTTGGTTTTATAATCCGTCTCGAATACACAAACAGGAAACAGAAAAGAAATAACGTTGATCGTTTAACAGCAAATCAATCGCTAGAATAAAAGGAAGACTGGCTTAGATACCCTAGTATTTATTTAACGAATAAAACGATTGTTATTAACCCTTTGCAGTTTAACATCAAGTCTGAGTTACGAATACATTACTCGAGTTAATAACAGCAAAATGCAATCTCAGGAAAATTTTGTTTGTCGGTAGCTAATTATGTAATTTCTCCTTTTCCTTCCAACGTCAACAGACATGAAATTAAGATTACGTTCAAAATGCAAAGGGTTAACTCGAAAAAGAATGTATGTGTGATATCAAAGTTCGTGCTTCATCTATCTGTCGAGGAGAGAGAGAGAAAGAGAGAGAGCCTGCTACAAATAAAAATGTCACGATATTCGACTATGCGCTAAATAAAAAGAGTACATACTTTCATTGATGCAATCTATCATTTGGAAGTAAGGAATTGCAATTCGCAACGGTGAAATAATAGAACTTAAATAGGATGTTAGTGATACGTACTACGATATCAAGTATCGTTATTAAATGTTCCAACTGTATCGATCGTTGCTCGTGTAACGAGCAATGATCGTTACAAGAAACACATGCACACACATACACATTTCTGCTCTCCCTATTGTATTTTTTGATGCTCAAACCGTGATTGTTTTGCACGTTCGAGGCGAGCCAGTGTATATCGCTTCCGATGCGCGGTCCACGAGAGACGTGTACGTTTTAAGCTGGATTTAGATTTTATACACGTATACGCTTGCATAAGAACATCTCCAGTTACAAGAGAGAGAGAGAGAGTGAGAGAGAGAGAGACAGAGAGAGAAAGAGAGAGTGAGTGAGAGAAAAAAAGAAGATTTAAAAAACGAGAAAGAAAGCGTTGTAAACTACAAAAAAAGAAGAGCAGAGAAATAGTAATTATTATTAACGTACTTAACGGTTTTTCGTTTCACGATGTGTTGTAGCGTAACAGACGTGCACATACGTATTATATACATATAGATATATTATATACACAGAATTATATATATTAGATATGTCAATCTACATATATATTATATAGATATATATGTCGAGACTCGTTTCCAGCTGGTCTGATCGGGTATTACTTTAACGATTATAATTGCGTTAACCTGGCAGCGATGCGATTGCGAGTAAAACATTTGAAAGAGGTGCGTGCAATCACATAGGTTAATTATTATGATAGTCGTACCGTATCTCTATTGTCGTGCCTCGACGATAACTCTAGTGCATTGCGCGGGAGATAAAAAAAATGTGGTAGTCCATCGACGATGAAAGTGAAAAAGGGAGGTACCGATTGATACTTCTGATACTATTCGATTCATAGAATATAATAATTGTATATGTGCGATCAAGAAACTCGAGTAAGTAAGCATCGTTTGTAAACCTAAATAATTAATATCTACCGTGAGAATTGGCGTTAAATGAAAACCTCGTTAATCCGTTGCAACGTGTAAATCCAATCATCGGATATTAATATCTAAGGGAATATAAGATTAATCGGATTCTCTGCTAATTCCTTCGTATGTATTGTTATTTATCTGAAGGGAATCGGTTCAATTAAGGGGCATACGTATACAATACACATACATGATTCGATTCGGTATTCCACTGAGCATGTGTACGTGATCTAATATTTGCGTTAAATTAATTGTTATTTCGCATTATCGTTCTACGGAAACGCCATTATGTGATTGTACCGAAAAGATAACGTTTCGGATACATACAAGTGGAAAACCATGGTATGCTTCATCCATACTCGATTAGACAATGATACGTAGCTACGTGCTTCTTCTACAATAGGCATGGCCAAGTGTCTCCCTACAAACTGTACGAACTCCACAATTCCGATGATCTGCCACCCTCTGCCCACCCTCTCTCCCTCACCTATAAATCAGCTTACAAGCCGCTGCTCCATGCATATTGTTTAGAAATTTAGAGATCTGGAAATCTGTAACTTTCAAAATGTCTAAGTTTCTAATGCGAGGTATCTCGAAACGAGATAAGGAAGAGCAATCGAATGATATATTTGGTGACATTTTCTTTCTATCGTTGTGAGCGAATTACTCTATATCGAGTATGCATCTGACTAAGATAAGAAGATAGCAAAGACACGTATGTAAATATGAGTGGGAATATTTCCTCTCCAGCTCAATAGAGTACGAAGGGATTTAGGAATGATAGTCGAATGTAACCTGCGATTCATCACTTGGTCATGCTTCTTCTACAGCATCACTGCCGGATTTAGTAGCGGTGTCTCCTTTTTTCTTTTTTTTTTAATTGGACGAGCGTACCTAATTTGACTTTGTAAATTTGAGCACAAAAATACTGTTCAAATCTGTATATTTTTAGTTGGTCGTATAAATTTGTTGACAATGATCACAAAACAGTCACTATCTGCTCTCGTATACTCACTCATTGTTCATAATGGTACAAGTGCGTCGGTAAATGCAACTTTTTACCGCTATCATTATGACAAATCGTTTACTTGTCTGTTCATTTGTTCGAGACGAGTTTGTATTCGAGAAGCCAGAAATATTAGACGTATGGTGTACTATGAATAGATAGTATAATGAAAATTAATATATAATAAATGAATGGACCTGTACACGTTTAATTTATTACTTTGTACGAAATTCCCCATCTGTTTTATTTTTAAATATCACTTCCAAAATATACTTTTAGAAACAAAAATATTTTATTAAATATATGTATGAACTTATAATTATACATACAATGTAATAGAGTTCGTTAATTTTCTACTAATTGTTCTATTCTGTGTTCGCTATCACAATTGATGTAGCGCTAATCGCATAAACGTTAAAGCTTTCAAGAGACACCAACTAATTTCTTCTTGGTGATATACATTTGCATGTAAATAATTATGTTTGAGTATATCATTTATATGCACAACTTCTAATTCATTAGTACTTGTCTTGGTATTACTATTTATTATCTTCTTCATAAAATAACTTGGAGATATTATTTCGGAACCAACAATAAGTTTGTGAAACTTTGCCGATGTACGAGGTTTTAACATGTATATTTCGTTTCCTGGTGGTAATGAATCATCTGTTCCTAAGAAGTTCATATTATAAAATTAATAATTTAGTAAATAGAATATTGATCATTATTTTTATGATATTGTTAATATTTAAACGCACTCTGATTTTCCATTACTTTAAGGCAAGCCATAATAGCAACAGTTAATTGTGCCTGGCAGCTTATAATACTTGTAGATGTTACATTTTTAAGATATGTATCTTCTGTTACATAGCATTGGCACTTAGGTAATTTTTCAACAATAGGTCTAATCTAAAGCAAATATTTAATATTCTTGTATTAATGGACATTTAATTATACTGTTATGCATCAACTTTAAAGTATTTACCAATGTGATTAAATCGTAAGAATTTTTTGGAGGATTTTCAGAATACCATGCCATACTGTCCCACTCTAACACTTCAAAATTATTAGTTACTGAAGCCCAGGTTACCAGAGATGTTCCTACATGTATACCTAATGTTGTTTCAGGTATCTAAAACAGTTTTCAAGATAGTGTAATTACAATACTAATTAGTATTACTATTTCATTAGAAATAACATTAATATAAAATAACATTAAATCAAATTAATTTATAATTGTTTACATTAACACTTTTGCACCTGTTCCATTCTTAATTCAGGGATTATTGCAGATTTGTATGATATTATTTCTGAGTAACGTTGATAACTAATTGAATTGTACAATTTATCCAATACATCAGATTTTAATTTATTTCGCGACATTAAATCATTTAATGATTTATATGGTCCGCCTGTGTCACGACATGATATTATTGCTTCAGCACGAGCAAGCTCTATGTGTCTAAAAAAATATTAAGAATAAAATAAAATTACAGCTCATAATTATAATAATATAAACCTTACTTACTTCTTTAATTTTGTCAAATTACTTTTATTTACTACTTTTAAAATTACACCTTCTTTCTTTGAAATTTTGTCTGCATCTTCACTATTATTTTTAGTATTAACTTCTGCAACCATTGAACATAATCCTAATTGTTGAATCCAAAGATCCTATTATAATAAATAATCTATATTGTATCACACTGATAAATGATAAAAATATTTCCAACAAAATAACACCAAATCACTGTAGAAGATATCTTCTCTTAATCTCATGCACTAACATAATCATTAAGATTATAATAACAACAAACACAAATGAACTACTTACTTTTCTTAAATTAATTCTATAAATTGAATTACATATTGATTTCAACATTATTTTTAAGCAAATCGTAAAATGAACTAACAATATTTTTATAGTTAATATTTGAGGTTACTCTCGTAAAAACAACCGTGATGAAGACGCATTTTTAAAACTTAGAATCAATCCATGCAAATTTGCATCAAAAAGTAGTTGTCTTTTTGTTTACAGCCTCCCTTTTTATGAACATGTATGCGACAAGGAAAAGTGAAGGAATATTGAGATAAAAAATTAAATTCACTCAATATAAATTTCCCCGCTCGCCGGTAAAATCGATTTAAAGGAATAAGTTTTGCGGAACATCAAAGATGTCGCTTTTTGTTGCATCTAGTATTTGCCTGCGCAGCATGAATGCGAACTTGCCTTTCCAAATATTTAAATTTTATTATGTTTAGTATTTCAAATTTCTAAATTCTTAACGCTCAAATTCATAAACTTATAAATCTCCAAATTTTGAAATTTTCAACTTTCGTCCATCGCATATTTATAACTCGTGAAGTAGTATACATGTATGATATGCTTCTTACTGATCTTATATCTTATACTTCTATGCTTAACGATAAAATTCAAAATCAAAATGTTCAAAACGTTCGTTGTTTGTACTGTATTAAGCACAGATATTTTTAATGGTTTAGTTCAGTGTTTATGTAAATAAATATGGTGTAATAAAAACAAAGTTTGTATCCATAAAAATGGCGAGTAATTCTATAGGACGTAGATCATCCACAAATCCGGTAAGGATATCTTTGATTGATAGAGAAGACAAAAGTTTAACAAGGACTGATTCAAGAAGAACGCAAACACTGAAACCGAAAATTTCTATTACATCGACCGACAGTTCTCATATACCAAGGCCTCGCTTTCGAGCCTCTTCGTGCGATAGAGCGTCTGGCATAAAGTCAGGCTTAAAAGCGACAGGTAAGACAATATATTATTAGCGTAAAATAATATATAATGTAAACTGTTAATTGATATTTAGATTACTTTTGTTCTATAATATAATCAACATACTAAACTGAACTTTTTTTTTTTTTCAAGGTAAAACTCCTCTTCGTCATGTACCAGCTACACCAAATACACCCACAGCAAGCAGCAGCAAACATTCTGTTCTTCGTTCCATTATAAGTTCTAATAGAATTCATGCAGGACTTCCCACAGGACGTAGGTCTTTATCAGCTGATCGCGCTAGCAGTATTGGTGCAAAAGGTCCTAGAAAGGATACCAGACCACTAACAGATAAAACTCATCAGGCTTATATGCTTTCAAGAATAGACAACTTTTTTGATATGCACCAATGTTCTTCTATGCTAAACAGTAATGGTAGCCTCAAACCTATTACTTTGAAAATGTTTGTAGAAGTTACTGGTCATTTGATAAAAATATTAGACATTAAACAGACTCTTACGATTGTTAATTATATAGAAGAACTACCAAAAATTGCAAAGAAACTTCATTATCCAGGTATTATTAATAAGTCTTGGTTAAAAACTGCTAATGCTATGCATTCATGGCCTAATGTTTTGGGGTGGATCAGCTGGTTGGTAGATATTTGTGAAATACGGGAAATAGCTTTTGAAAAATACAGCTTAGAAAATTTGCCATTTATGGGTGATGAAAAAGAAGCTAAAATGTATAAAAATACTTTATTTTCGATGTTTGATTTTTACAATGCCTGGAATGATGAAAAACTTGATGAGGAAGCAGTAATGGTTGAAAGGTATTTACAAGAAATTGAAGAACAACAAGGAGTTAGCGAAGAAATGTTGAACAATGCGCACTCTGAATTAGAAGAAGAAATGGCTAAATTTCAGGTAGCTGAAGAAAATGCAAATAAAATTGAGGAAGAAGTAAAACATTTACGAGAAGTACTGTCATCATTACGAAAAACTGAAGAAAAGCAGTTAAACGAAATTAGTGCAAAAGAAGAATACTTGAAAACAATTAATTTTGAAACAGAACAATTAAATGCTGAATATGATGTACTATGTGAACAGATCTCTTTACAAAAGAAACAAAATGATGAATTACTTTTAGTTGTTAAACAACAGCCTATGACTACCTCAGAAAGGGATAAAATTTTGGAAAAATGTAGGGAAATCCAAAATTACATGAAACAGTTCGACGAACATTTGCAAGAGATACAAAAAGAATTGTATACTATGGACATTAAATTAGCATCTGTTACTAATAACGTAACTAAAACAATTCTAACATATAATAAAGAAATATTCGTGCATCTGAGTAACAATGTAGGTATAGATTTAGAAGAGTTAAAGATGCCAGAAAAGGGTATATTAAATCCCGAAATTATGGAAATACTGACATCTAAAGCGAACTTAATGAATGACTTAAAAGAATTGCTGAAAAAGCAAATTATCGAAAAAGAACATTCATTAGAAATAAATTCCAATGAACTGGAAAATTTGCATGAAAAAATGAAGATCTTAGAAGAAGAAAGTAACGATGTTGCTACTAAAATTAAAGAACGAAAAAATCTTGCAAGTAAAATTAAAACTGATGCTAAAAATGAAGAAGCAAAATTGAAAGAACAAATAAGAAATTTTCAAAATGATATTAAAGGAATTCAAGAATTAATGCCAAACGTACAGTCGCTATCTGCGGAATTAGAAGAAGCAATGGACAAGTTGGATGCAGTTAAGAGAAGAAAAAATTATATAGAAGAATCTGCAAAATTATTCTTTGATAGATTTTATGAGATTTTAGGAGAACATAGAAATGAACTTTATAATATATTAATAAAACATAATAAATAGTCAAGTTCATTTGTATATAAGTTTAGCATGTTTTGAATATAAGTTTTATACAATAATTTAATTATACAGGCATATAAATACCATTCTCATACATTGCAAAGCACTGTACATATGTATATATAATAAAAATAAAAAGTTAATAAATCTATTTTGTTTATCTCTAAAATACTATATTACATTTTACTGTAATGTATCATGATCATTAGATTATTTAAAATATCACGATTAGTGACTACAAGTTATTGCTCTACAAATTGGTACAAAGGTTTATTTCTTTAAATTATTCATCTATTTATATACATACTTATCCGAAATATTTATATTAAATTAAAATAATAAAACTGTATCAAAGTATACTACGTATGTAAAAAATTAAAAAAAAAGAATTATCAAGATAAAATAATCCGAGTTTGTTTAAATCACAACGCGGAAATAGAAAGTGTTTGAATTGTTTTAGAACACAATCTATATAAATGATTTTAATGATTTTTATCCGTGACAAATATTTATATTTTTACAAATAAAAACTTAAAATTTTTAAATTTAGCGTTGGTTATACGTATATAAATTATAAAATATTGATTGAATTATGTTCTGAAAAATTCCAAAGCTGAAGACAATACATTACATGTCTTTGTACTTCTTTTGTATAGTACTTTAACAAAATGATTATTCAAAATTATTCAGACGTACAAGATGGTGAATAAGTATGTGGTAAGGACTAGGATGAATATGCTGGCAAACATTCCGACACGTTACGGTAAGTTTTCGTATGTACGACGAAAATGAATTCAATGAAATACCAGGTTAGGTTCAATTTGAACATATTGGTTAGGAAGTAATCGATGCATCGTGGTATTTATTTAACGAATGAAAATGTATTTTTTATTTTTACAGCATAATGAACAGCAAGGCTAATGCTGTTTGCAAAACTGTTGCTGCACGAACTAGCAAAAACACATTGGAAAACAAGCAACAATTGGTAATTTACGTTGTATAATATACAACACGTTTAGGGTTACAACCTTCTTTTCTTATTACACTGATAGTACATATATGTATATTATGTTTGTAGCCTCCATCTGAACCATCTTCTGAAGGTCTTATTTTATATGATAATTGCAACACTTTAATAGAAGTTTGTGTTAAAACTAAGGGTCGTAAACGTACATCAACCATGGTTAGCAGCAGCCCACCTAGTCATAAAGGAATAGAAGAGAAAAAACGACCTGGCAGTAGTGGTGATTCTCACCAAAGTTGGGGTGGGATTTTAAGAGAACAAAATCGAGCTGCTATAAAGCAAGGTTTGCAACAGTTAACTAGGAGAGCTTCAGCTTCAAAATCATCAAAATGTGGAAGTGAGACTAAAGAAGTAAAAAAGCATTCCTTGAGTCATTCAAAACACGAAGTTAGTATTTATTCTGATATTGAATAGCTATACATTTGTGTGAAATCACAAAAAAATCCGAAAATAATTATTTTTTTACCTTAGCATAAACATTTGGATGAAATCCCTGTGAAGCAGTCAGCTTCTCAAAAGAGGGTAGAAGATCATATGAAATCCACACCACGTACCACGATTCCATCAAGTACATCGATACCTAGTACTATGGAATCTATAATAGTCTGTGACAAAGGTGTGCAGTGTGGTGGAATACTTGATTACACTGATGATAAATATGGTGTATTAAATCCGGTTCGTACATTAAACTTTCTGATGACAGAATTAGTACATTTAGTCAAGGATGAAAGAGCCAATCAGATTTTGAACGATATGGAACAGATATTATTCAGAATTCCTATAGAAGCTGGAAAACCATCTTCTGTGGTAAGATCACTATATATAGCAAAGAAGTTACAATTGACAGTTTTATATATTAATTAAGGGAAATCTGTGATAGGATCTAGAAGCTATTGCCCTTCGTACAAAATTAGAAGCAACCACAGTTCAGTTGGAAGAAACAAGCAGAGAAATGAATACAGTGTGTGAAACATTACGTAAGGAAAGAGATTCTTTACAGAGGTATAATTTTTTTGTAAACAATAGTAGTTGTAATCATTATATTTACATAATTTTTATTTTCAAATTAGACAAGTTCATAAACAAGTTTTGCTGTTAAACGAATCTCGTGAAACGCAGCTAGATTTAGAGAGCACTATAAAAACACTGAAGCAAGAATTGGAAGAAGCGATAAAAACAGCCCAAACTAGAGATAAAACAATAAGCGAATTAAAAAAGGAAATTAAGGGATACGAGTTTTCGCAAAAAGTTATAGCAGACTTGAGGATTAATTTAGCCGAACAAACGGAACTAGCAAGGCAAAGATATTTGGAAGTGCAATACCTAACTCTGGAAAAAGACAAATTTTTCACGTTGTCTTCATACAAAGATTCTTTATTACTTGAGCTTCGTAATGCAGTCAAGTTAGTTACATTATCACTAAATTATTAATTGGTCTTGATAGTTTTATACAACAATTATATTGTAATTTTATGTTACAGAGAGTTGCAAAATCACATTGCAGACCAGTTAAATGGTTTAAAGGATATGTATGTTCACGAAGAGAATTCAAATCCACAAATTTCATTAGTACAAGGCGGTCATGCGTGTTCATCGCCCACTTCTTTATCTTCACGCGATTCCAATGTACCTACTTCTTGGCACGATATGTCAGATGTTTCTTTATCGACAGTGGATCATGATCCACCTAAAAATGGGAATATGAACAAATTTACACACAAAGGGGATAAAGCGATAACAGCTTCGAGTACTCAGATCAAAAGTTCGGAAAAGAACATTAGGGAACTACAGGCTAAAGATTCTGTTAATTTAGAATTTATTAGCTTACCGGGAGGAGAATCTTCGCACACGCTTTTACCTTCTTACAAAGATCTTGGTTACACAGAATTTAGCCAGTCTGGTAAGTATGTTCGATATGTATGTATGTATGAGAAATACTATCGTAAATTAAGAGTATAAATCTTTTTTTCAGTTAACAAGGGAAGGGAAGACGTAGAAAGAAATAATAGTTTACGTAATTCCAAGGATAAAATATCGTCATCGGAACACTTAAGTTTGCCTCCTGAGAAAGAAAGTCATGTAAAAGATCCATCTAAGTCTCAACAATCTTTCGAGTTAAATAAAAGACAAAGTTGCGGGAAAGTGTCAAGTTTAACAGAAGACGTGTTCACTTTAAAAAACAATTTACCTCATAATTTAATAGGGTCTAGTATAACGGAACATTTTCAAAATATGTTTCACGATATCAGGGTTCAAAGTAGGATGCCGGTTAACGTACCAAGTCCGCCAAGGAATTATCCTCATCCTGATTGGAGCGATAGTACTTTACCCAGTATTAGTACCGCTTCAGAATTAAATGTGATACAATCGAACGATACTTAAGATTATATTAACTCTTTTAGCAAAGTAATATGCAACATCATTACACAATTTAAATTATTTTTTATCTGAAAACTCAGTTATAACAAACATACAAATCGATTTATATTTTTGTGATCTCAACGATTCAACAGTATATTTTTAAATAATAATTTACAAGAGATATACATAGTATAAATTGTATCAATTTTTTGGCTCAAAATGTATTTTCCTACTAATATATGGTGTATATATATATATATGTACGTGTGTGTTTGATTTTGATTTGTAAGTATCGGTCAAATTTGTACACAATAATATATATACATATATGATTTAAAAAAATATTGTTTATAGGTACAAGTTACATTATCGATTAGAAAAGATGATACAGGAGGTGTAAGAAGTTGCTCGTAACGTAAACGTTACAGTCGTTAATTGTACATAAGCGAAGAGAATCCTTCGAAGTAACACAGCGGTGTTAATACCAAAGCGTATAGCGTGGTATCGTTACTTAAAATATGAGACAAAAGGAAATGGAACTTTGTATGTTGTCAACGAATACGATGATGTATTTCATTGACGGTGTATAAAAGATAATATAAGACTGGTCATTTCGAAGAAATAATTTAATCGATATTTTGACGAATAAATGGAGAGACACGTTCGCTCTTAATAAACGGTTATTTTTTTTTCATATTCTCACTCTTCCTTTAACAAATTCATGCTAAAAAACCAGAAGGACACGATATAAATATGACATGAAAAACCAGATGTATATATATATATATATATTTTTTATCACATATGTATATATACAAGTAAAGTATAATACTTATATTTTGTAAGTCTTAATAGGATTAAAAGGGAACATTTTAGTACACGTAAAACATTCATCAATTTTGCGTAAAGACGTCTTGAAGTACACATACATGTTTCCCAGTAAGCGTGTACATGTATATTCTCTTTTCTTTTCGAAAAATTCGATCGTTCTTTTTTTATGATTATTTTCTTTTTTCTAGGGACCGAGAAACGTTCATTTACTAACAACTATCGTAATACGAATACAGTCCCGATATTCGACGCGTGTAAAATAAGTAATGTTAATTTCGAAACGATAAGGACTGTCTTCGTATTTGAACGATTTCGATGAAGATTGCGATAAAACGTGAAATATTAAAAATGTTTATTTATACGCGTTCGATTTCACGAACGAACCTTCCTCGATTTAACTTCAAACAGACTTTCACTTCATTCTCTTATTTTTTCTTTTCTTTTAGACACATGGAAAATTACAAATTCGAATTCTCACGATATTTTCAGAAAAAAAAAAGAAAGGACATTGCATTCGAAAAGTATGCGAAACACTTACACTCTCGAAGAAAATTCCTTCGTATGCACGAAAGGTTTAAAGTTCCCTTGTCGGATACGTATACTTTCACGTACAGGTCAGTACGGTTTTTCTCCTTACCCGAGGTTCTCTTAAAAACATAAACTATTCGATTTATTAATGTTTTCCAATGGTCACCGTGATTAACCTTAGAAACAGTTACTCTTAACTCATGATACAAAAGTTCTCTTATCCTAAGAAGAATGGTAGAAATCGAAGACCGCAATTAGTAACAACTTTTGAATTGAAACTTTCGCGGTAACTCGAAACGCTTATCGATATCTCGATAGATTCTTTTTTGTTATTTTTACAGGGGTGGAAATGTACAGAGCAAACGAATTCTCAATGGTTACCGTGAATTCGAAAAAATCTTTCGTCGACGTACATAAATACTTGCGTTTGTATATATCTCATTATTTGTCGTATGAAATTACCAACGTTTCGGGTAATAGTCTACGATTAAATCACGAATCACAAATGTTTCGTTATATTCTTTTACGTATCGTTATCGTAATGACTCTGAGGTAATTACGTATGCTCGTAATTTAAGAAAAATCGGCATTCGTTCAATGTAATTTCGAATCCTTCTCGGGAAATATATCTTCGAATCTTATTTGGTATTATAAAATGAAATTTTCGTTTAATCCCACTTTGTGTCGATCGTCCCTTAGAAGATCGTGAGGTTAGTCAACATCGATTGCCATTTAAACGAGCGTTTGACAGTTTGAAAGAGTAAAAGATTTGAAACCGATTTGCGCTCTTTTAGTTGGGCATCGATGTTATATTATATCGAAAGTCGTCACACGTGCTGTTTATATTTCGTTCATACGCGAAGTTGGTTCGACGAAAATAAAATAGCTTTACGAACGCTCAGTTGACGCGGTGCGAGTTTCGATTCAAACTCGAGTACATTTATACAATCTCAAATTGCGTTTAATCGTGCCAAGTCTCGTGTATGAAAAATTTGTAAACGGAAAAAAAGATAGACATGATTTTAAGAATCTTCTTTCAAGAGGTGATTTAACGGGGAAATATTAAAGATGCAACAAACAGCACATTGACAACCCTCGTACCGCGTAAATATGTATACTTGTGTCTATGTGTAGCGTGTATGCGTGTGTATGCACATAACTGTCTTAACACATACGTACGTATTTTCACTTTCACTGCCGAAACCTTTGATTTTTATTGAAAGTCACGCGAATACAACGAAAACGTACAATATACGAACGCATTAATATTTGAACGAATCAATTCGGAACGCTTCGTTTTGATTTTCATTTTGTTACCATTTTCGCCATTTTGTTTAAATTGAATTATATTGGACAATGCTTTATTTTGATTTACACATTACGCCTTTATTTTTTTCATGATCGATGGGAAAGAATAATAGCAAAACATGATTGAAATATTGCGCACAATATGATCACATAAAGATATCGTGTTTTGTATACGTGTGAAACGCTCGACGTTTATACAATAATAATAATATCACTAGCGTAGACTGTCTCCGTTGTATCGTTTCTAATTGCGTATATTACAATAAACGATCGTCGAGTAGAAATCGTAAAATCTTGAGTGAGTCGATTAAAAAAATGAATCCTAGCCGACTTCTTCAATATCCTACTTAAATAGTCTCAACTATGAAATATGCTTGAATATAGCTCAGATATCGGAAGTGATATAGTGGGCTGTTGTAAAAATAAAAATTTAACATTTGTCATCTTGAGGTTGCATATGGAAGGACATGTTTTATTGTTTATTGTACGTTATATACTGCTTTGTTCGGTGTAAAAATATAAAGCATTTCGATTACAGACTTCGTATGTACGGGCGTTGCCATTGTTACCGAATTAATCGGCAGTTATTTACGATAATCTCTTTCTTGTATTTTCCTTGATGCAGGGTTGCACTTGTCACAAAAAAATTTAAATAACTGTACTGTGGATTAAGTGTATGGAAATAAAATTAACATTGTTCAACACGAGTCTGACAGTGTCATTTTTTAATGATTCCTTTTAAGGTTAGGTACCTGCTAATTTTGAAAAATGGCCGATAACTTGTAACTGCGAGCGGGAAATAAATCGATATAAGCAAATATTAGTTTACGGTCGATAGCTTGGTTCGATACTTCTGTTGCAACGAGTAGCAGACTATCGATACTACTGATTCAATATCAAGTAAATATCGATAGTTGGAATTCGTTACCGAGTAGACATCTATATTTTCTTACGATAAGAAATAAAAAGAAGTTTCGATTTATTTCAAATCATGAACAATAACCGAAGACAACCATCATTATTAAAAAAGTGGCGTGTATGTAACGAAATAAAAAAAAAGGAACGCGAATAAAATTGATTGATAGATCGAAACGAGAGAAGAAATTGTAAAAAAAATGTGTAACATGTCGGTGCAACCCAATTTCAAGAAACAGTCTCTAACTCTCTCTCTTTCTCTCTCACTTTCGTTCATCTAACAATGGCCCAGGCTATGGAGTTCAATAATTGCTTTTATGTGGCAATGATAACAATATGCGTGTATAACAAATGTACTTAGAAACGGTTTCACTTGTGCTATTACTGCTCTCTGGCGATAAAAATCAGATATCATTGTTCAACTGTTGGCTCGTAACAAGGGGTTGAGGGGGGTAGAGTTTGTTGCTCTTTTACTGCGAGTTTATAAACACTATACACTTCCTGATTGTGCGCCCAAAACATGGCATACGGACTCGTGAACAACGACGACTGGTCACAGTCCGTCAGGCGCCCAACAAGACACGCGTTCAACTTAATTTATACATATTTCTTACAGTTAAACGTGTTCATTCGATAAATCTACATACATATACGTATTACGGTGACCAAACTCTGCCTCTTTTAGATACGCGTACATTTATTTAGAATTTATTACAATTACTTTGGATCGCGGACGTTAGCGAAGTGGATGAAACAAGTAATAAATAAAGCACGGTAAATCTGCTGTAAATTATAGTAAACGAATACGACGAGATTCGATCACCAGCGGTATATATACTTATTCGATGCATCCACACGCTGATTCGATAAATAAGTAGATTCGCGAGTAATCGAATAAAAATTTTTAAACGAAAGCGATCGATAAATTTACCGTGGACACATTGATTAATAGACGATTTATCGAATTAACACTCTCACTGTTTTTACATATTCGCTATTTTCTCTTCTCTTCCTTTCATTTACTTAAATCCGAAGAACGTTCGTGTTTCTTGTATTGTAAAATTAACGAACCTGTGGTCCTGCATATTTAAAGATTCCCATTTTTTTTTTTGTTAACTCTTTAAACTGTTTCTTTTTCCTTTTTTTGTTTGGGTTTCTGCGTATACCAAGAGAGATCCGCGCAATATAGTATCGTGATTAACATCGACGCATAAATAAAGTCTTCGTCTTTTTGTCTTTTTTACATTTATTTACCAAAAACACTAATTCCCACGCTCTCAAGTCTCGATAGCTTGGTCTCCGTGTCGTATTGTTCTCGGTCTTTCGTATACCGGGTGCCGCGAAATCAGTATCACCCGAAATAATTCATCAACGACGACAAACACGCGTGTAAGATATTTGCGATCGTTTAACGTGAAATATCGTGGCACATTTACTTCGCGACACTCTGTACATCGTATACATATATATTATATATATATTTTTTAATTTGCGTTTTCTACCAGCGAAAATGGACATTGAAAATTTCGTAAATTTTCTTTTTCTTATCATTATTCCTTATGTTCGTTTCTCGATCGATGTATCCCAATACTTTATTGCTGTACAGCGCGTATATATACAGATATATATATATATACGTATAGAAATATTTTTGTCGTGCATTCTAAAAACGTTACGATTAATCGTATCGAAACCGTGAAGACATGAGATCGAAAAATCGATAAAGCTCGAGGAAATCAACCGAAAGAAGACGTGACTGTATACGTGTATACATGTATGTACGTGTGAAAAATTTCGTTGAATGGACGGCTAAACGAAAATTAGCAATGTGTGTGTGCGTACACGTGTTCCGGAAACAAGCGTACCTTAATAATTAATCATAACAAATACAGTCTCTATTTCTAGTTCAGAGAATAAAAAATCGCCGCTAATCTTCGTTCCAGCGATCCACCCTTAACGATAATCAGTCGATGTGTATTTTAACCCTCGAACAGTGGATGGCGCGTTCTTGGGTCAAATGTTACCCGATAATGCACTTTTTGCACAAATTTTTCTTTCACGAGATATCTGAAATTTTAGACGTTTCAAATTTTTCAATCATTCTTTCTTTCGCGGAATTTTTAAAGACGTATGCGGCTATCGAATGACCCAACACTCGCCGTCCGAGGGTTAATTTAAATAACGCGCGTTCGCCTCCCTTCTTTCCTTAACACTACTATTATTACACGATAACATTTTGATTAAATGACACGTGTCGCGACGCGTGCAATCTCACGAGGGAAACCGTCTTAATTATCGAATAAAGAAAAGAAAGAAACAGAGACGATGAACATCGTGGCGCGTGGAAAAGTTGAACAATCCTCTCGCAAGACAGATTTCAGGCCAGCACAGAAACAGCTCTTCGATCGTTACCGACTATCGATTTCAACGATACTCTCTGCAGGTGTCTGTAAAAATATTTCGTAAGTTTCGCGATTCGAAAATTTGTACAGGACGATTCAAGAATGACGATTCTTCGAGCTTACGAGGGACTCGCTTAGAAGGATAAATGCTCCGTTTGCCAGCTGTTAACACCGATATCGATCAGATTATTCCTCTTCGATCCGAAGATTCGTGTACACTTTTCAATCATCCTGTACAATGTTGCTATTCTTAATTGAAACCTGACTATTGTTGATCGTTCAAAAGGAGGCCCCGGGCGATCAATATACACGCGTATTGGCAATACTTCGGCGTTTCGAACGTTCCGGTTTCAACGATATTTCGGTGTTATCGGTAAATATCGAGAACCACGAAACATCGACAATGCGGAGATACTGATCGGCCGGAGTCCCGAAAAGGTGGCGGTACCGAATGATTGGCATAAAAAAATGATTGTGCGTGTCGCGAGCAATCGAGCGTGTCAGATTCCTCGCTGTCTGTTATCGGTAAAATATAATTCAACGTACACATATCAAAAATATGCTGAGAATCTTTGAACCGAGGTTTGTTTGTAATTAGTCACGCGGCGGCAAACCGTGGCAACGGTTTAGTCTAATTAAGAATGGAAGCATGCTGAACGAAACCGTTTCCGTCTCGCTCGAAAATCTTCTCTTCTCTCGGGATTGTCACTTTCTCGCGTTCTGTCTTATCGAATACATTGTCGGAACGAGTTTTCAAAACAGTCATTAAAATCTTACATATTGTTCGTACTCTCCTTTTCATCGTTATCACACGCACTCTTTCTTTCTTTTTATAAGTCACACTGAATTACGTATTCTTCGGTAGAGCGTGGAAGATGCTTGCAAAGTTCGGAGCACCTGCGCGATATTGTTCTATGTACACAACTCTGTGCTAACAAAACGTGAACGGAAAAACATTCATTCATCTTCTTCTTCGTCTACGCTACTGTCCACGAGTACTCGGCCATCCAACAAATACCGAATATTAATCATTTTTAAATACCGATTATCTTTTCTTTATTTTATCCATAACTTTCTATTCGATTTTCCTTTCTCCGATTGTTTTTATTTTATCCGATAGAATCTGTTCCACGTATTTGCGAATTACAATTTGTTAGAGATCAAGAGACAAAGCGCCGATATGTCCATAGACGGATACGGAACGTCGAAATACTCGTGGACAATAGCGTACGTCGTTTTCCTCGACTCGTTTTTACTTTGTTCGCGTTACAATCGCACCTCGCTACGACGATTCTTACATTATTAATACGTATAATTTGATTTAGCGTGTTTGTTGCTTCCTCGCAACAACGATCGACATCGTATCGCCTTATAAAAATTGGACCTGTTTCTTTTTTTGTCGCTTACGATCCGCTAATTACTTCGTCTTCGATTCTCGCGGTAATCCGTTCGTATCTTCTAGCCACGTGCTAATCGATCGACGATTCATTGACGATTTTCGCGGTTCGTACCAATCACAACGTTCTCCTAATTCTATAACACGATCAACGAAACAACGTTAGAAACGCATTTAAGAGAAGACAAACGATACCCCTTCGACCGACAACGTTTGCGAGATCAACTTGCACTTGGTGTATTATTGTATTGGACTATGGTTAACTATGCGATTATAAGTTGCAACGTTCGTGGCAGGCATGACACGGTCCGCGCTTCCATATTTTTCGGAAAGTGAGCAATTTGAAAAGTCGATGTGGGAATAGAGAAATTTTTTGGAACGTGGTTCGCGAACCGCTCGGTCATGCCTGTTTTACATACGGTAACCACTGCCATTCGCTCTTTCGTTGAGAATCGTGTGTATCTGTAAACAGCTGACTTTCGTCGTTATCGTCGCGTTATATCACCGTCGTACGGCTACGCGTTAGATCACCGTACACGTGTCAGATTAAAAAGTCGAATCGTTTGTTGCTATTGTTCGTTAGCAATGTTCATATTTCAAATCCGATAATACTTCGGAACATCGAAGCAATTTACATAATTCGTTTTTAACGACCAGCCTGCAGCCAGTACACGGCGAATTCTGCAACGAAAAGATGGATGGAATAAACATAATTTTTGTTCAACAGACGAGACGGGTCAACACGGATCGTTACGGTTTAATCTCGACAGTCGAGGGGTTCGAATGTTTCTTAAAGAATTGGTCTAGCCTACGGACGAGAAAACAATTTGTTAAGGCTAAGAGAATTAACAATGGTGTTTGTTCGGTGGAGTATCACCAAGCCCGTTTTATATCTTTCAACGAAGAATCAACGGAAACGAGCAAACGTTTGCTGTAGTCGTGCAAGTTTTTCTGCAGGAAAATAAATAAATCGAAGAATAAAACGGGCCTCGACTTCGTTATTAAAATTTTATTCATTTATAATACGTGTCCGCGTTCCACCCTTTGCGAGCATTTTATGGTTTACCTTCAATAACTACGCTTTCACACAATTATCGTACTTTTGTCTTTTTTATACACGAGACTCGCGCGGCGACGATTTTAATCGACAACGCGGTCGACGCGACGCGCTATCGAGTGTTTGAACATCTTGATTACGAATTTCGAGTTACCCTTCCACGTCCGTCCACATTCGTATGCCTTTTTCGCGTTATAAACAAAATCCTCTTTTTCTCTCCTTGTTAATTCCTACGATAGTATTCCTTTTTCCGTTTGGAATTTTTAGGGAATCTGTAAATTTGGAAACTTTTAAGTCGTCCTTTTCCCAAGATAAGCCTATGGAGAAGACTGATATGCAAAAATTTGGAAAATCACCCTCCGAAAGTATTGTTCTCGCGACTGATTTGCCCTCATCTAACAATAAGTACGTGCTCGCTCCGCGTTACTTCCATTTAGATACGCGCGTATTTCGAGCGCAGCTTGAGGTCCCAGTTCGTGGCTACCGGTCGGCGTGGCTCGCCGCGGACTACAAAAACGTTGAGACTCCGATTCGAAGGTCGTCAGGCGTTTCATTGGCAGGTAGCCGGTGTGCAAGGGCAAAAAAACGGTCGGTACATAAACAGTTTGACAGACTGGGAGGGACAAAACGCTCGGCACCGTGACCCTGCGAAAACAAAGCGTATCGATCACTGGCCGGCCTGATTGACTCGTACGTCGTACCAGCCTAGCTAATGATCCACCAAGGACAGCCCTAGTCGCAGAGATCGTGTTGCTGATCATTGTTCGCCGAACGAACAACACTTTTCGTTATTCGAGCTATCGATACTTTTCTATCTTTAGAGAACAACGCGGAGTAACCGGAGTCTCTTGCGGTTCGTTTATCCGATCAGTGATTTCCGACGCTGTATCGTGCGTTTCGTAAAAAATAAAAAACAACGTTTCGGTCCTTCGTGGAAATGGCCGCGAGGGATACGCGCGACTGTTTAACAGTCCCATTCACGACGACAACGCGCGGGAATAATTTTTGACCATTGTAAATTCGAAAATGCAAAACGCTCGGAACAATACGGCCATTGTCCATGAAATATTTCGATAGATAACCGAGACGACGGAGCGAATTCAACGGTTTAAACATTAGCGGTCCGTTTTCGTGGGCGATTAACCTGTTGCTCGTAGCTTGTTTGTCGCAACGTAGAACGGTTGATACGAACCACGATAGATTTAATCGGACGACTAGCAAAACCAGCGAATATTATGCGAAGCTTTCGCGTAACAAGTTCGAGAGCAAGAAGTGTCCCTTCGCGGTACACGTGTTGCCCGAACTACCCCTTATCATCGCCAAGGGTTCCGACGATTACGCTGGAATTATGCATGGGATTTCATTAAGCGCGTTCTCCGATGCAAATGAACATCGTAATTAAAGCTACGTTCAATTTGCTGCTATCAAAACGGGTCGATCAATTTCTTTTTTGATCCTTTCGAAATTAGCTTTGCTATTTCAAACAATTACTATAACGCTGTCCAAGGAATTCCTAAAATAACCATACACCGTAGAATAATTGTTTCTACGATAATTTTAAAAGCATTATCTTTGTGGTCAACTTGAAGTTAACCAGCAGAAGCACCAGAAAAGACACTGTTCCTGAGTTAACGCGATCAGACCGAGTCCACGATTTCGTACACCCAAATTAAAGACCCTCTAAATCGAGACATTGTTAAATTCCAAAATTCCTTGACGGAGAATTAGCCGAGTTGACCCTAAATATAACGAAGACAAATTAGATTCGTCTCCTTGGGCGCGGATGGCGTTCGTACCGCTTTCTAGTTGAGCAACCTGCTTAGAAAGCTCGTCGGCAGATTAAAAAATCGATGTCCCTGGTTAAACTAGTTGGAATTTTCTGTCGTAGTTAATTTATGCAACTGGAACGATCGCGTTTCCGAACGAGCGATCATTTTGAAGAACGTCGGAGCAGCTTCTCGCTGAAACGAGAAGGCGCCATCTCTAGCGCGCCACTTTCGAACGTCGACCGACGTGCCAGGGAATAAAAAAGTCCGACGAACGGGCCGAGATAGCGAAACAGCGAAAAGAACGATTAGATTTCGCACGACGTCGATCGACGGTTTTCGTGGTCGTTTAGCTTGTTTAGATTTCTCCGTTATGCGTTGCATAATCCCGCGGCCGGGGCCCTTGGTCGAGCAACAACAAGAAAGGGAAAGAAAGAAAGAAAGAAAGAAAGAAAGAAAGGAAGGAGCCAGTGGCAGACGGGGGCGAGGGACAAGAAAGAAAAACAAAGTTCGAGCAGGAAGTGGCTCGCGTAAAAAGAAAAGCCCCGGTAGCTCGTCCGTGGCGAGCAAGCGAGTGGAGTGGAGTAGTAGGCCAAGTGGAAGTTCCTCCGAGTTGCTGCTCTCTTCCGAGAGAGAGCGAGAAAGAGAGAGAAAGAGAGAGAGGGAGAGAGAGAGAGAGAGAAGGATGTCGACCTTTTATTTCGTTCGAGAGAGTAACTGTCAGCCGGGTATTTCGCGTGGAGGCAAAATAAAGTATAAAGGGTGTTCGCTGCGTCGTATATACGCGTCCAAGTATGGACCAACTTCTCCCACCCTGACCTCAGGATCGTCTCGACCACGCTTCGTCCTCTCTTTCTCTGCCTAAACGTTTCTCGTCTTCGTCTCTCCGTTTCTACCATCTTCGTTCCTCGTTTCGCGTCTGGCTTCTCTCCTCCTCGCTCTCGTTGCCACTCCTTTTTTTCTCTCTCTTTTTTTATTCCAACGAACACTCTCCCGGCTAGCCTTGCAGACGCTTCTGGCAGACGAGGCGCGTTTTGTTCTCAACTTCCTTAATTTCACCTTCCGGGGGCCCCACGGATTTTCGATCGCCTCGTGTCGTATAATCGAGCATTCTATCGCCGTGCGTCGCGTCTCTACGTCGTATGCTCGAGCATCGAATCAATTATATCATCGCGCGTTGTTTTTCCCAGCCGTCCGACTATCCGCGAAAGCTACTCGACGTTACTTCGATCGCTGTAATTAAATCGATAGAGTGGTTAAAAACGATAGCCTTCTCGTTATCTTTTTCGCTTTCGATCGCCGACACTAACCACTCTACCAACGTAAAGTTAGCCTTAGTCGCGGCGATTACGCTTCCATCCGCTAGCCACGTCGAGCGCGGTGCAGCGCGGTGGAGGGCTTTCGAAGCGGGACGCAGCATCGAAAAAGCAAACGAACGTCTAGTTTCGATAATAATACTCTTATACGATCGCGAGATCGTTCGTATCCGTCTAGCAACGAGTACCCATGCATTTCCAGCGATAATCGCGCGAAATGACAGGTATCGATCGACTACCTCTTCTGGAGGAAAAATTTCTATTCCGCTTCTACGTGATCGCTTTTCGTTCGACCCACTTGTCGTTCGGCTCGCACGAATTCGTCCAGGTGAATCGAACGTCGTTGTTTTCGTTCCGTCGCTCGTCCTGCCGAAATATGGAATATCTCGCTGACACTCTGTAAGAGTTCCTCCTCGTTCAGACGAAAGATCTATCAGATCGGTCTACTCGGATCTTTGCGAACGAAAATAAGCAACGCGTGCAGTGCCGCGTTATCAGCTCCGTCGGCGATGCACCGGTTTACCTACCGGTAGATGCAATCAGCGCATCGGAATGTTTTTTCACGGGGACTCGCAGGATCGGGCGAGCGGATCCTTCTTCGAGCAGGCTCCTCTTGCGCCGAAAAGGAATTTTGCTCACGTGACCACGAGAGGACGAGTACGCGCGCACGAACCACGCGAGAGGAGGCTTCTCCTCGTTACTCCTTGGAGCCAGCGGCCGTACGAGCCGTCGCGACGAACGTCGTAGCAAGTTCGCGAACCTTGAACCCTTCTTTAGCCCGTCGACTCGTTTCGAGAGGGCCGCGTCACTGCCGATCATTTTCCTACGTTCGAGCCTTCTAACCCTATTCAATTTATTCGCCCCTTTTGGATCTTTTCATTTTCGAACTCCTTTTTGGCTATCGAATATACAGGTTCAGGGTCGTTTTAGATCGTTTCAATAAATTTTTCTAGACTTTAGGAATTGCTGTAGATATATTACGTGCAACCAAATACGTCCTATCTGGTTATTACTCTATTTTTGATAAACGATGATCAGACTAATCTAAAAAATGTGCAATTCGCATAAAAATCAGTGAGAAATTCGAGGACTCCAAAGGGGACGATTCGTTTTTGATTCGATTCGATTGTTGATTTTGTTGAAAAAGTGCAACGGTGCATCCGTGTTCTCGCAGACGTCGGTACAATTAGGAGGTGGAACGCGAATCGGTGACTCACGTGAGCAGAGGAAAACAGAGATCTCCGGTGCGTGCGCGATCGATCCATCTGTTGGTCGTAGCCGTCGCGACAGAGAGAAAGGGAAACGGTACGACGTGACCGCGAAAACACGAATACCATAGGAATGTCACGAAAACAATGTCGGCCACCTGACCCGCGCCCCTGTGCCTGGCCCGAACGTAGTCAGTCAGTCAGTCGGTGAGCGCATCTGCCTCGTTCCGTTGGTCCGCGCTCCCTCGCGTCGATTACAAGTTTTGCTGGCCGCGAGCAACGTGACGAGTCGCCAGACCCCCGACGAGACTGCGAGATTGAGAAACGCTGTCGAAGAATGAGACGGGCCGACTCAAGGCCGCGCCATGGTCCCACTCCCCCGCCAACCGAGAGTCCGAGTCAAGGGCGTTCCCCCCACTACCTGCCGAGTTATGAGTCGGGGACCCAGCCACGGTCCCCCTGGCTCTCCCTGGTTATCCCTCTCGTTTCTCTCTGGCTCCGTCAGGGCCCCTTCTTCTCCTTCTCCGTCCAGACTCTTTCTCCGGAGTCCGGCCAAGCCCGGGATACTCCTGTCCCTCGGCCATTATCCACTCTCTCTCCCGTGTTTATCGCCCGATTTTTTTCAACCTTACTCTCCCTTCCTTCCGTTCGTTACCGTTTTCTTTCCCCGTGCGAGGGATGAATGGAGACTCTCCGTGCCTTCGATCGAATCGAACGTTTTTCAAATTTCGAAATGCATCGCGCGATCGTTGTCCAGACCCGACTATCTTTCGAGCCGCGTATCGACGCCACTCGACTGTACGAATACCGCTCGTCCACTTTTAATGGATCATTCGATGGTAGCGATAGCGACTGGTTTCGTTTCGAATTATAATTCGCCAAAAGACGAATCCTTTTCGACACCGATCGGATCGAAAGGCGAGGAAAGTAGACTAGTTTCTCCGAATTCCTAGAGCTCGTTCAATTCGCGTATGCAAAGAGAGCTTATTTGTACGAATTCGCGTGTCCAGTGGCGCGTAAAGGCTTCTCCGTTGCACCCGCGTCGTTTCGTACGTTCATCGCGCGCTCTTCTCGTCGCTCCTTCTCGGAAGAGGCTCCTTGTTTGGGGCCGTTTCTGCGTCTCTCCTCGCCTCTCTTCTCGGGCTGCGTTTCGCGGACGGTTCTCCCTACGTTCGTGGTGTCCCGCGTGAAACGACGCGTACCGGCTCGAAGCGTTCTTTTTCTGCGTCGCTTTTTGGCCCGGATCGGGTTCGCGATGACGGGCTGCTCGCAGACGTCGCTCGTTCTGTCCGAAATTCGTCGCGAATGCGGTCACATTGTTCGGAGATTATTGCGCCGTTCGATTCGGAGAGAACGGCTGGACCGATTCGCGTCTCGAGCCGGGTCCGCCGATCGTCGATATCGTTGCGAGCGTTGCCTCCGAGAGAGGCTGGATTCTTCTCTTCCCCGGGCAACATTCTTCATCCGCGTGGAGCCTCGACGGGTTTTCGGGCGTGCACGATGATCCATCATTCTTCGCGCCGTTCCAATGCCTCTCTCGGCCGTTCTTGTCCTTCGGCTTACGTTTCGCGGCGAATCGTGCAACGCGCCGAGTCCCGAGCAAAGTCTCTCAGATTTTCGTGCCGTCCCTTTCGACGTTACCGCGTTTGCCACTTGTCGAATCGCGTCCGACTCGTCGACGTTTCGAGATCGACCGTTTAACGCGGTCCAACGACGTAATAGCAGGGAGCCTTGCTCGATTGCACCGTGTTTTGTGGGTTCTTGCGTTCGTTGCAACATTTTTTTATGAGCAAAAACGACGCGGTGGCAACGGCCAAAGAAGTTTCGCTCCGTAATACGGTGAAGGTATTTTCTTGACGTTCGATGTATCACGGTAAATAGACTGCTGTTCCGATGCGAAGAGGAACCGGTTCCTCGATACCGCACGAATAAATCATGCATCGATTAGGAGAGGAGACTGTTGCCAGTAGAAAGAAGTCGCCCTCGGGTGTGATTGAACTTTCCATCGTTCAGAAATTTGTTAATACGTTGATCGATTAAATTCCCTGATGAGTCGGGAGCTGTGCCGCCGGTCGATCGTTCGAATTAACCATTCGTAGGCTAACTGGGTCGTTCGCGTCCAAGATTCATTTTTTTTTAGACTTTCCAAATTTTTTGACCAACCGTGTATCGCGTGAAGTTACGCCGATATTAAATGCTAGGACATTTAAGTAAGATGCGGAGAGTATAAATCCAGAATAAAACGATCGTGTCCTGAACGCATAATTGCAATTATAGCACGCCTTACTACGCACAGCCGTTTTCACTGTGGCGGCAACGTTGATCGTCACAGTGGAAATAACCATATCTGGTAAGGCACGTTATAATATGAATTATTAACGCGTTCATTGCCATGGCAGTTAAATTTAATACCGTCGATTAACTAAAACGTGAATGACAATAATAATGCAACGATGCAAGGTAGCAACATCAAAAGCTGAAATTTGAAAATTTAATGATCGCGTCCTCGAATCTCGTTAACGCTTCCCTTTTTTACGGGGTAACTTTGCGAATACAATTAAAATTATAAAATTTTTCGAGAAAATTTCGAACACGATTTCGGCATCGAGATTCGGATCGGTTTAAACCGTCCAGGTGAACGGACACGCCGATGAAATCGTCGAAGAGCGAGTAATTACCAACCGATACTTATATCTCGCGTTTCTCCCTTGTTCGCGTTCTTTTTCTTCGTTAAAATTTCGCTGCACTCATTCTTGCATCACCTTTCTGTCCACGGTGGGCCACGGCGGGCCCCGCTGAGCCCAGGACTCCATTCAAGGACACAATATTCAGAAACCGAAAGTGCGATCACGCGAAAATCTAACGTCCCGCCGAACCGGTCTAACCGGATTCGGTTGTGCGGCTGGTTAAGATGGTACGGCGATCGGTGAGCCGCGTAAACTCGTTCCTCCGTCATTTTCGGCAATAACAACATTAACGCACCGCTCGCGATCGCTCGATACAGAGACGGTCTCGAATCGACTCTTATCTCTAGCCGTGTCAAAGGTCCATCCGTGATGTCAACCACGAGCATCGTCGATCGTCATCGTTCTACACCTTATCGTTCTCAGACTTCGCTCTTCCACCACGTTTTATTTTCGCCTACTCTCTCGTAACTGTATTTCGAAGAATAACGACTGGAAATTATTTCGGCCGATTGCAAATTTATCAATTATTTGACAAATATATGAAAAACACGAATTCTAGAGAAACCTAAGGATGAACCTTAGGTGAAATAATTCTAGACGAAGTTCAGAAAAAATTTCGAGAAGACTTTAACGGAGAATTATAGGAAAACCTAGAAGAACGTAAGGAGAACTCAGGAAGAATTCCGAAAGATCCGTAAAAAAATGTACGAAGCAAGGGTCAAGGGCCGGGCAATTAAACGTCAGACAGAGTAATCGGTTGAACGACTATATCAACGCGATCGCGATGTTTGGGTCCGTAAATTCTGGGACCTGCCGTTCGGATGTTCCTTTTGTTCGGGCGAACTCGTTTCAATTTCTTCCCTTTCCTATGGCGTTACAAAGAATCGTAGGGTCGTGTCTCGCAGCCGTGTGTACGCCGGTCGTGAAGTTGGAAAGTCAAGTGTAGTCGCGCACCTTCTCGCAGACGGCAGCCAGAGTTTCTCAAACTCGTTATGTCTGGGCCGTGCACGTTCTCGAATCGCTCGAACTTTTCGATCGATCGACGCTTTCGATGCATCTCGCGTCAAAGCTTCTTCAACGACGTGATTCTTTCCGTACGTTCGACGATCGATTAAAGTTCCTTGCCTCTCGCGAAATTTCGAGAGAATCCCGAGGCGATCGTGGCGGAAAATCTTATCTCGGGGTTACGAGCTTCTTCTGGTCGATCGTATTGATTTTTAATTTCGAGAATATCGCTCCCCTCATCCGTTTCCAGTTCTCGCGCGATCCCTCGACCGAGGTACCTTTGTTTCTTCGCGGTTTAACCTACGATAATAATCGTAACTGCGAACGAAGCGGTAAGAACGAGAGCAAAAGGCGAATCGCGAACGTTTTTCCGACACTTTCGAATCATTCCATTCGGCTCTGACGAAGGCAAATGGTTTCTCTACCCGCATAGTCGACGGATTTTAATGTACGATTCCGCGTAATGGAGTTTAACGTCTTCTTTGGTGCAGCGCGGCTGTATTTAGCCGGTAAGTAAGAGAAGCCGAGTGTACGGGTGTGTAACCAAGCCACGGCGCAAATAATCCAAATCAAGACCGAACCCGCGTTCTGACAAGTGGCTGTTCTGACGTGGCCGTGCAAAACTGGTTGCACCAGCGATGGAACTGTTTCCGAGCCCGCTTTGCCGCTCGTTCCCAGGATTTACGACGCGCCGAATTTATTCCCGGCGAATTCGATTCGACGCGGACGAACGTTCAATTATTCCTTGCCTGTCCCTCCGCTCTCGGATTCTGAACAACGCGTCGACTCGAATCTTGTCCCACCCGCTTTCTTTCCTTTGTCGATTATTAAACACCGATCGGAAACGAAGGCTAATAACATCGGCGTAACTAGGTAAGGGTCAAGGTAGCCCCGGTCCACCTTCGAAACATGGACCCCTTGTAGCTCTACGTATATCCCACGCTAGAAATTTCCAAATTCACAGATTCCCGTATTTTCGAAATTTCCTAAATCCCTAAATTTGAAAATTCTCCTAAAGCTCCCGTTTTCCCACAGCCTCAAATTTTCATATTGTCGGATACCGAAATCTCAATTAATGCAAGGGATTTAGCTCCGGTCGTAGTAGAATCCTAATTACGTTAATGTAACGAGACCGACAGAAAGAAGTTGAAAAGCACCGAAAACGCGACGGAACAAAGTAACAGCCTTTATACGCGATAAGCCCGAACCCGACTCTTTCTATTAATTATAACCTCGACGGTGTTCGATGTATCATCGAAGTAGGATAGGTTTAGATTAGTTACACCGGCAGGATTAGATGGATCGAATGGAAACGAAAGGAGACAGGGAACAGGAATTCTGATCGGTATCTTGGAGTGCTCGGCGAGTTCGAGGCGAATCGGATCCGCGCCACCGAAGAGACACTCGTCAGTCACAAAATATGTATGCGCATATAGGGTGTACCGTGAAATGTGAGCAAGACCTTGCTGACGCATTCGGTACTCGGAAATAACGAAAGAGATCCTCGTAAACGGATTCGAATTTAGACGACGCTTTGTAATATTAAAAAGTCGATGATAAAACCATGGTGTTCGTTCGAGAAAGAGGCAATTGTGATAATTGCCCTTCTTTCTCTTTCTCTCGAGAAAACTTCGACTTCATTGTATGCAGTCTGTGGATTCGAGCGAACTTTGTTATTTGCGTATCTCGAATTCATCGGTGAATTTGTATATCGCGGTACACCGCGTGTACTCTATTGCACTGTTTAGACGTATTAGTAGGAACCTTGTTCCGTCGTAACTTTGCATCTGATCCGAACAGCAACGAGGACTGGACCTAGACTCGACCGAACTAGAAAGGAACTTAGAAAAAATAAATTAAACATAATCGTTTCGCGTATCGTCAGCTTTAACGCCTTACTCCTTTGGATCTATAACGTCATTTGTTCTTATCTTTTTGGAAAAATGAATTTTTTTTAAACTGAAAACGTAACGCAAGGTTAACCTTCCAATTTTTGAAGTACGTCAAATCGTAAGTAAGGCGTTAAACGTCGTAGAAACGTTTGAATTGGATATAATTAAATGAAAAGCAGAAAAGAAAGAAGCGCAATGAAGATTAAAATACATAAGAAAATAGATTTTATTCAGAATTTATTGAGTGATTTTGCGAGGAGGTTCTTTTGTATGTTTTTTTTCACTATTTTCTTTTTATTAAAAAAAAAAGGAAAGATATATCTTCGTTATATCGTTTTCGTTCTCTCTCTCTCTCTCGCACACACTCTCTCTCTCTCTCTCTCTCTCCCTATCTCTCTCTCTCTGTTTCGTGAAAATACAATTACAAAAAAACAGTGGCTGATTCGCGGTGGTCCGAAGAGAGATCGAATAGAGAAAAATACAACAGGATGAAACGAAATTTTGAGCTAAAAAGAGAAACAAATATTAAGGAAAACAAAACACAAAGAGGTCAGTCTTGGCTCAGTGATTCGCTGCTCTCGTTGTAAAATATATCGTATAAAATCGTACATACAAAAAAAAACACGATACAAGGCATCACCGAGACGGCGCCACGCGTACGCTCGGTGATCGCTCGTCTATCTTTATTTCCTCCTTTCTTCCCTATATTATTTTTACTGTTTTTCTGTATTTTTCTTTTTTTTCGTTTTAACTCTTTACATTTACGATCGTGCGAGTTTCTTGTGTATACATATAAAAAAATCTATATATATATATTTATATCTTATTTATACGTACGAACGTATATAAATAAGAGGCGAGCTACGCGTGCGTTGAAACACTAAGTACACGCGAAACGAATCCGACGATCGCGGGACCGATTGAAGAAAACGGATGGAGGAAACGCACGCGAAGAAACAAAGGGAAAGAAAACGGGGGAATTCTTTTTTAGTCTCGATCGCGCAGAAAATCGTGTATAAGCGAGTTACGCAACGGATCAGGCGAAATGTCGATAGTATTGTCTGCCGTTTAAATTACGCCGACAACGCGAATAACCGAGCGAAACATTATACGTTAACTAGAGATTATAGAGATCTAAATGTACGGCAATATAGCGATTAAGAAATGTGAGATCTTGGAATCGAAATAATGTTTCGTAAACGAAGAGAACATCGACGGTTTAATCGAGCGAGAAATTTCTTTCCTTCCTTCTTCCACGTTCCCTTTTCTTGTTGTTTCGTTTCGCCCTTCGGTAGAACTCGCACAGTAGTTTTCAACGCACCGCGGCACGATCCTAAACTGTACGTATGCACATCCGTAATGTATTGCACCTGCATCAGCGTCCGCATCGAGGGTTTTAAAGCTAAATTTTGAAAACGAGATCTCGCGGTATGTGGTGTGGTGACGGTGTATTCTTACGAAGAAAATCGCCGGTTACGGGTTAACCCTTTCGCTACACGGTGTGAAGTGCGAGGAAAGAAAGGCGAGTTCCGCGTCGGAAACGCGATATTTTAGCTGGAAGTTAAACGGCCGCTCGATACGAACGTTTCTGTATTCGAAATCAAAGTTCTTTAAAACGATAACAGTTTCGGAATGCAATTTCCATTGCGTTTCGACTACTCGGAAATGTAAATGCTCCGCGATATACTATAGCGAGAGGGTTAACGATAACGCGTGTATAAAACAATGATGAACGGTGTGTCTTGTTCGAGAAACATTAAAAAAACAAGAACAAAAGAAGAGAACGAACGCGAGCAGAACGTAACTACTACGTATAAAGAGAGGAATTGACAAGAGAAAAGAGAGACGCGTATTACGGGTCGCGTCATCCTGTCGCGAGGCTTGGTTCATGTACGGAACCGCAGCCCTGAGTCTTATCAAAGGGGGGTGAAAAAAAAAACAATAATTTACATAATCGTTATAGGTAATATATAAAGCTTATAACCTAATCTATGTTGAGCATTCAGTGGACGACGAGGATGATACGACCCAACGGCTACGCTCTCTACGTTCGAAAGCACACAACCGAAAATAGCTGGAAGAGACAAGAGAAAACAATATTACAAAAATTACAATAATAATAGTAATAATAATAAAGAGGATAAAAACAAAATTCGAGAAACACGGATCGCCTTGTTCTTCCATTCTGGTTTACGTATACAGACGTATGTGTGTGTGTGTGTGCGCGCGTCATGTGGCGTTTCCGGTCGTCAGAAAACCTCGCGGACCATTTCTTTGCTAGGCGATATTTTAGAGTTAAACGTAACTCGTCTATGAAAGTTAGTTCGCTTAAGAATCGATAAGAATTTTGATCGTTCGCGAACGGATCGGACGACGTCGACTATCGCGAAAAACATAGTTATTCGATCGACGTCGGGACGACAATGTACCCTCCCCATAAAGGGTCTCGGACAAGAACAGTTTCACCGAGACTGGATAATCCACGAACGCGATTATTCGTCGTGCCATACTGTACACATTACAATAGAGAAGTCGCTTATAAATAAACATTAGAGCAATAACATCGTATACGTGTCGACGATAACTAATCTCGTGGATCATCCGACCGGATTGTTACCCTTATCGCGACTTTTCTCTCCGAGTCTCGTCTTCTTCTTGTTTCTTTCTCTTATTATCGCTATAGTGAATCGATATCACAGTACCTGTATTGCCACCCACCCACATTACTTTTTTTTTCTTTTTCTTTTGATTCGACAACGACGGTCGAACGAGCGTGTTTCGTCGATCGAAATGGCACCACACAAGCTTCTGACGTCGTCCAACCAGTTTCGAACCAGTTCGCGACGAGTTCTGGCGACCGATATGTGTACGTGTGCGCGTGTTCGTGAAACTTAAAAATAAAAAATAACGTGTCCCTGTGGTCGTTGCCAGGATCAGCTGGCTATCGCGTATTTTTTTCAAAGTACGGTTCGCGACGTGTATAAAATATTTCTATTTATATATATATATATATATGTATATAAAGATTAAACAGTTAAAAACCAATCCGACAACGTTTCATTTCGCGACACACTATAAATAAATATATAGTATGTATACATATATATGTATATTTATTTATGTATATCACACGGCCGATTTTGTGACTGCGAGATTAAGAGTATAATTAAGCATAAGCACTAGTAGTCGATTAACAAAATGAACAAAAAAAAGGGAGAAGGAAACGAGAGACACGAAACAATCTCCAACAAAGAGCACGATAAAAAATGCGCGCGCGTGCGTGTGTGGTAAAACGATGCCGAAGAAGTAAAGAACTCTATAAAAAAAAACGATACCAACCACTGCACCGAATGCAAAATCTCTCGCGAAAGAAACTTAATAATAATTAATAATTAATAGCGGTAATAATAATAATAATAATAATATTAAGATATGAGATGATATATCGTGTACGACGAGTTAGAACAAATAGTAATATATAAAAAAACAAGGATTCATTCGTATCTACAATTTGTTTACAACAATTAGTCGTCTTTCTCTTTTCCCCTTCTCGTCCCATGCCTAGCAACTTTCCTCGCGCAAATAAAAATCCTTCGCAGTAACTTTTGAAAAGTTGACAATTTCTCTAATCATCGTCGACGCGAGTAAAACTTGAACAAAACAAAAGAAATAAAATGATAACAACGTTTGCCCTGACGATTTTAAAAATCGAATGCAAGACCAACCACGCTAATTAAGATGTTTACGCGCTATGTTCGATCAATTAATGAACGTTTTCAACGAATGATTGTCTTTTCGATCTCGCGCTGCAATGTTTGCTCGTCCGCCGCCGAACACCTAATAAACCAATTATTATTTCGTCGTCGAATTATATCTCGCGGGAAAATGGTTCTGTCACCGGGTTCGGAAAGATTGAATTATCGTTTCCACGCGTGGCACGTATTTTTCGACGAGCAACAAAAATAAAAAAAAAAAGGAAACGCGATTCGTTGACAACCGAAAGTTTTCACGAGCGATCATTAGCCATTCGATTTTTCGTTTAATGGCGTCGATTGACTGCAACGAAAAAAGCACGCCTGAAATTACGACGACGGTCGTAAAATTTAATAACGGCGGGCGAAAAGGCATACGGATATGGACCGATTCGACGTGCTCTCCGTCGAACCATTCCGACGATTCGAAAACACGTAACGAGCTGCGTCGTAAAATCTGTAAGAGTCGATTTAAAAGAATATCGTAACGATAATACTCGCGAATCACGAAAAAACATCGTTTCTTTATCCTCTTTCGGCGGAGAAACCTTCTGCTCGAGTCTCCTTCGCTGTTTTGATTTTCTACACCAGCGATGGCCGGATCGAATGCCCGCTCTACATCTCGCGGGCACGGCTATGAGCGTTCTTCGACGAGCCGGGACGGATAAATCCCAAAATCGTGAATTTGGAAATTTAGATATTGCCGATGGTTTCGACGTTTCGAGACGATGTCCGGGGAAATTTCGAGAACGGAAAAATGAACGATCCGTGCCCGCTTGCCCTCGAGCGCATTCGACCATCGCTGCTCTACACGAGAAAAAAGAAAGAAAAAAGAGAACAACGAGTACAATATATAAAAAAACAACGGTAAAAAACGATTAATTAACGAACGATCACATCGTCGTTTCCCGCGGTTTTCCGGCGTCCCTGCACGTTTTCGTTTCTTTTTCTTTTTTGCATTTTTTCTTTTCTTCAACTTATATATATATAAGTAGATTTTTTTTAATAATTTAATGAGTCGATTAACGTGACGCCTGACGACACGATCCTTCATTCGTTCATTCTTCTTCTTCTTCTCCTCCTTCTTTTCCTTCCTTTCCTCTCCTTTCATTTTTTTTTCTTTTAGTACTGTATCAGAGTATCGATAATTGCAGTTCTCGATATAATTAATTAATTAATATACCATCCTAAAATACGGTCAAATCACTGCCGCGAGCAGCAATTCCGAGGCACTACGAACAGGCCACAGAGAATATGGCCGCACAATTATTCATCTTCAGATCATCTCTGTGTCTAAATGATAAAAGACTAACTGTAGAACGCCTAATATACGTATAATCGTAATCATATACTTATGCATCTCGTCTTCTATAGTTTATAGATCATCATTATATATATAATATATATATATAATGTACAATAATTAGAGAGATCACACGTCTTAATATAGAAATTTAAAAGACTATTCTCTAGTACGTTGAAATTTCTTCAATATTTCTTGTGTGTGTTTGTGTTCGTGTGTGTTTCTTTTCCTTTTCTTCCTCTCCTCTTCTCTCCGTCATTTTGTTTCTTCGTTATCAAGTATTGCCACGAAACATTCGTTCGTTCTTTTTTTTTTCTCGTTTAAACCGGCTGATGCGATGATAAATTGCGTTATTATTATTATTACTATTATCATTATTATTAAGTTTCGGATGAGCTCTCACGAAAGTCTTTTTCTTCTTCTTTTTTTTCGCCGTTTCTTTTTCTCGAGCTACTACCTAAAACCCTACTTACGCTACTCTACGGTGTCTCAGCCTTCTTCCACGTTCCCTCCTCTTTCGTTTTTTTTTTACTTGTTTTCATCGTCGCTTACCTAGTGTTATAATTCAGCACCAATCTGATTTTAAAACCGATTCAAAATATCATCATTATAGTTAATAGAATAATATAACCTGTCGTATAAATATACATTCAAATATTACTATAGTATACAAGAGTCGTACCCTCCCCTTTTTTTTTGCGCAACTAGCGTCGTCGTCAAAAACTTGTCGTACCTCGAGAATCCAAAAAACCAAAAAAAATCAACAAAAATTATGGCTCAGCACTCTGGAGGGATACGCCGTCCTCGTAAATCCTGTCTAATCTCTCTTCTTCTCCTTCTTCCTCTGCCTCTTCTTCCTCGTCTCCGTCTTCTTCTGGCTCTTCGTTCTTTTGCACATTTTTCTTCCACACCGTGCTTCTTCTTTTTCACTCATCCTACCGTTTCTTCTTCTTTTTCTTCCACCCTCGCATTCGCATCTCTCTTTCTTTCACACACGAAAGCATCCGCGCACTCACGCACCTTTTTTCCCCGCCGTTTCGACGCGTTTTCTTCCTTTCCCGTTTTTTTATTTTTATTTGTTCGTCCGAGCGAACGGCTTTACATATTTACAGGCATTCTTCTCGTGGTCGTGTATTCACCTCCCTTTCTCGAGGCAACGTATCTTCCTCCCGTCGCGTCTCTTTCTTGCTCTTTTAGCTTTCTTCGTTTCCTTGTTTCTCATCTCGTCGCGTTTCTTTAAACATAGGCAAGTTAAATATCGTATCACAATCGTTAATATTTTTTGTTTGCTTTAGTTCTGGTGGTAATCGAACGTATCTTCGATTTGTGTTTGCGAAACACGTTTCGAACACGAGTACGTGTACGCGTGTGTGGTGCGTGCGATGTGGGTGTGTGTGTGTGTATGTTTTATGAACGGTGCGACGAACGACACCTCGGACGGCCTGCCTGCGCGCTGAACCACCGAACTCTCTCGAGCTATTCGCGTATCGACGAAAAAAACGCGAGAAGGTACGTCGTTAATTCATTTAATATATATAAAAAATACGTATCGGGAGGTTGGGGAATAGACGAGATTCTTCGTTGGTTGATTCACTCGTTCGACGCCGGTGATGCGCTCGACGGTGAACGACGGATCCCGGATGCAGTGGTGTGGGATGCGAAACGCGTTTCTTCTCGCGGCGCGAACAAGAGGCGGTGACGGTCGCGCGGTTCGTTCGATAAATTGCGCGATTAACTACGCGTAGCTTACGCTATTTACAGAGATCGCGTACGCCGCGGGGCTACGTCGGTCGGCTGCGTCGGGGAAGCAGAGTATTCGTCAGGTAACGATGATCGGTGATCGGAAAACGTCGGTCGGTTGGTCGATCGGCGC